CTTTTAAATACATTGTGCATTTAATACAGATCAATATGGCCTTTTACAGCATCTAAACCATATGAGCTAAAACCCTGCCGTTTGGACAGTTAATTTTAGAATGAATTACCGTATCTTTTTTGCTATAGACAAAATGTGTAGGTTATTCAGAGTCGGAGATATCGAAACCAACTTTTAACAATCTTACAAGACGAATAACTTTTTTTTTAATGGAATGACCCATATTAAAAGATACCATTCAAAGCGAAATTAAAAAATTGATTTTTTCTGGAAAACTATTAGGTAAATATAAAAATATTTTTAACTCAATTCCCTAATAAAAAAAATAATAACCGTCACCGCATAATATAAATGAATTATTTATTAATTAAATTCGTTATTCTTTACTAACATACCCAAGCCATTTTATATGTGTTTATTGTATTATACATCTCTAGCAGAAACTTTGCAATAATTAAAAAAATGTTTAATAATAAAAACAGTAAATTAAATATTGTATTTTTCTGAATAATCAAATATATACAAATTGTTCTCCCTTGTATAATCTCAACCTCTACTTTTTTTTTTATATCTTATTATTAATATTTGATTCCTACTAATGTATATATACCTAAGCATAATCTATTCCAAATCCACCTGAAGAAGCCATTGTACGGAGAAACATGTGTTGTGGACAATTAAACAGTTTTGTAACCTAATATAAATAATTGCCGAAGCAATGAATTATGATTTCCCAAAAACACAGTAACCTGAAACATGATGGATAACAATGACCTAAAATAACCACAAAGAACAGTGTAATTTATTCGTTTGTTCTTGAAAAAAACAATATATTTATGCTCAATAACATTGTACGTATAATCAAATAATCATTTGCATATAACAGTATTTGTAAAGTATTTGTAAAATGCTTTGAAGTTTACTTGAATTGTTTTCAAATCATTTGCAAGGGATTCTAGAGAGCTGTTGGACCATTATTGAACAGATCCGCCGTATCTCTGTTAAAAATTCAAAAGGTCATAATCCGAAAATTATGTATGCATTTCAAGAATCATACTGTCCACTTAAGAAAAAAAGAATATTAAAGGATTTTGTGTTACATTGATCGGTCTAATCGAAACTATTGGCGGCGATCAGCTACAACTCGATCATTGCCAAGGAACATTGAACCACAGAAATTCTGAAAATGATAAATTTTATGGACCATGGTAGAAAAGGCCTAGAACCATGGGCGGCAAAACAGCAGAGAAATTTGGTTCGTCATTTTAGGCCCCCTCAATATGAAACTCAAGCGGGCTATCATTAAAATACAACAGCAAGGTTTGTCAAACGAAATTATCAGAAGAGCTTGTATCAGCAAAGGAATCGTCTATTATCATGTGATCTACACAATATTTACAATCAGCGACGCGAGGCTGGTCGTAGCGCCTCCTCCAGAATCGAGCAACCTGGACATTTGTCCGGGCTGAAAAATTTGGAGGCGACATTTTGTTATTTATTTTAATAAACAAATTTCATGGATTAAAAGTATCTAGTAACCAATAACATACCAATATTGTTATTCGTTAAAACAATCTTGTTCAGTGTAGGATGTTTCTTGATTAATTTACATATAGTTAATGCGCCTTCGTCAGCTATTTCACAGTGCGAAAAATCCAGACTTTTTAAATTTTTATTCTTCATAAGAGACTCGACGAGCATTTTTATTTTTACGCAATCAATGTCAGAATTTTGTATTCTAAAAATTAAAAAATTGAATTCAACTGACATACATAAATCACTTGTTTCGTATAATTACTTCGCTTCAAAAATTATTTTAATAGTTACTTATATATATCAAAAAGGATAAATGTTCCTATGCTTAAATTCTAATTTGTAATAAACTTAACTAGAGCGTACATATTTAATATTTTCAATAATTCGGGGTAGTAGAAACAACATGATAAAAATNTTACTTCGCTTCAAAAATTATTTTAATAGTTACTTATATATATCAAAAAGGATAAATGTTCCTATGCTTAAATTCTAATTTGTAATAAACTTAACTAGAGCGTACATATTTAATATTTTCAATAATTCGGGGTAGTAGAAACAACATGATAAAAATTCTCCTCTTATCCAAATATTTTAGTTTTTGTTTATTTATATTTTATTCAGGTTTATAACAAAAATTTTCAATAAAGTTTTTACATCAAATAACAAACATGAAAAACATAGAGGGTTTTTAAAGAGGACAGCGGAATAAAATTTTTGGGCTGACATAAAAACTGAATTTAATCCATTAGTAATTACGATGAAATTTTTGCTTACAAAATAGCTAAAATCCTGTTTTTATAAAAAAAGTACTTAGAATCCTTTGATCAACAGTCGTCATTGAAAAAATCCTTAAAACTTGATAAAAGCTGATATTTACTACTAAACCAATTTTCTTTCATGTTAGGGACTGACACAGAAAATCGGACTTGTCTAGTAAAACTAATGACTCATTAGTACTCACAGGTTGTAGACCATTTCGTTACTCTGCTAAAAACTATTTTTAAAAATTAAAGAACCTGCAATGTAACCATAGAAAGGAAAATGTGTTGTCAAATTTTAGGCGCACTTGAAATTAACAATTTGGTAAACAAATTAAGAAACTATTCTTTCGATATTGAATTGATGAAAGCGTAAATATATCAGAAAAGAAACATTTGTAATATCCAAATGAGGGGTTGTCACCGAGGAAGGGAGAGGGGGTAAAAAATTATAAGAGGTGGATCACGTAGTATGGGTACATTCGATATAAAGAGCGTCTTCTTATTTTACCTAAAACTGTAGAGGTCGCAATGCTCCAGACCTTTTCCCAAAAATTTAATATCTTGTAGAGACACCTTGAATGCATTCCATGAAAAATTTTCACGCAAATATTTCTATTAAAAAAATATTCCCAGTTAGGTAATAATTTCAAAAAAATCAATTTTTCATTTACCTGTTTAAAGCAAATCGACAATTCTGTTAAAAATGGTAATCCAGACGTGACTATGTTCAGAGGAATGTGATCAATGTTTCCAGAAGATTTTTTCGGTGCTTGAAGTTCTTTTAATGACATAGTCGTTACAAAATGTCGACATACTACAACCAAATCTTTTATCTGTTTAAAAAATCGGACATTTAATAGAAAAATGAAAATAAAAATAACTCTACAAGAAAAGGTATAAAATCTGATGATATTCAGTAATTTTCATTCCAAGTCATATTTTGAGGAAGGAAAAGTAAATGGAATATCTGAACTCATAAAACATAATAAGTGAATTAGTACCTTTTTATTCTGGAAATGTGCATAGATTATCATTATGTTATCGCACTGTCATTTTAGAATCCCCTTAAAATGTATTTAAAAAGAACTAAATGCAGCACATATTATTATACATTCCATAGTGTTGTAAAGATCAGCCAATTAAAGAGCATCGTTAATTATTTGACGTGTTTTTCTCTTAACTTGGACATCCCTATTATTGAGATTTAGTAAGATGTAGATTTTCACTGACCTGCCGCGAATTTAAATGAGATTTTATTGGACCCCCTTTCAGAAGAGTTAGTGCTATTTGCGAACGTGTCATTTGCGAACAAATGAGATTTAGTGCCACGTACGAACAGCAATAAGTAGCCTTGGGTTGACCTAGAAATTATAGTTTACTCTCTTCGGAGTATATTTTTGGTATAGGTACATCTTCCTCCCGTGCCCGGTTTTTTGCCGAAAACAATCCTTTCTTTACTTCAATAAGAGCCATAACCGGCTTACAAGCATGTGGTGTGACTGACATTATTCCATCACACTTGCTTTTTAACATTCTTTTGCACTGTTGTTTTTTCTCTTGAATACATAACCAAGTGATAACACCATTGCTGCTTTCACGACACTTTCGATATTGATAACCATCGTAGACCAAGAAAGGCTTTCCTTTTCTTGATTCGATAATTTCCATTTTCGAAAAATGCAACGTTAAGCCGTTAAGGTAACAAATCTTGACTTCGCTTCTTAAAATCTCAAGGATTAATGTTATATATTTTGAAAAACCTAACTGTAAATAGGGTTACTACCACCTTTTGTTATTATGTTATTACTGGTTGATAATTTATTATTATCTAGTTCATTATAGGTTCATTATAGTAATTAAAAATAAACACCTACCTAGTGATTATGATTGTTATTATTGTTGTTTATCGGAACATCGTTTCATTTCTATTAAATAGATACAATCGAAATAAATGTAGTTGTTCGCAAATGGACCTGTAATTATTAAGAGCACCTGGATCTTAATACGAGTGTTCGCAAATAACACCAAAATGTGGTTGTTCGCATCTGAAACGTTCGCAAGTAAGACGACACCTTTCAGAAAACCATAATTCGGAAGGTACATAGGTGTTAATAATTTTAAAAAAATTACTGGGGACCTTTTTTATCATTTGACCGAGTTATGTAGAAAACTATTTTTTGATCAATTTTCAATTTTAAAAAATCTTTTTAACAGGACGATGTAGAATGTAAGGATATAAGACGTTTTTTTGTAAAAGGTCCTTGTTAAACACTAACTATGAATCACTGCAGGTAGTTTTATTTGGATGCTCTATATATATATCGACTCACAACATTCTTTTTGTTTTATTGAATTTGCTCGCAACTGCGTTCGCATTGATATCCATCCTGAATAAACCTGAATTTTGTATCCCTCAGGAACAGTATCCTTTTTCTGGATAAAAGATACCACATGTTCTTTTCTATACTCTTGATAAACACACAATTTATAATATTGTTAGGATTACGGTACGCTATTCTACTTATTTTAACTTTGTAACATTTGTTTAAATAAAAGTAAAACTAAAATACTGATATGCAAGGGAAGAAAAAGTAGGGAAAGAGCGAATATAAAGATAGGAGACGAAAAATTAGAAGAAGTGACTGATTTTAGATACCTAGGAAGTCAGATAAGTGAGGATGGAAGGAGTAGTAGGGATATTAAGCAGAGGATAGCGCAGGGTCGTGTCGCCTTTAATAAAAAGAAGTCACTTCTATGCTCGCGAACGGTTAATTTAGAAATTCGAAAAAGGTTTATGTTTGGAGCACGGCGCTGTACGGGTGTGAAATATGGACAGTGGGAGCGGCGGAAAAGAAAAGGTTAGAAGCGTTCGAAATGTGGTGTTATAGGCGGATGATGATGATATCGTGGGTAGAAAAGGTTAGAAATGAAGAGGTATTGGAAAGAATAGGAGAACAGAGGACTCTATGGAAGTCAATAAAAAATAGGCGAGATAGATTGGTAGGACACCTTCTCAGACATGAAGGTCTAGTCAGAGCCATATAGAGGCAGAAACAGGAGTTAGGAGGGGTAGAGGTAGACCTACATTAGATTACTCTTCGCAAATAGTTAAGGATGTGGACTGTTCTAGTTTTAGGGAAATGCGAAGTTTAGCTCAGGATAGGAAAGAGTGGAGGTACGTGTCCAACCAGTCTTAGGACTGATGACCTTATGATGATGAACATTTGTTTGCTTTGTAACTTCGCGTACTTACCATGTCCAAATCATATTCCTCTGGTTTTAAATTCTCCAATGTTTCCTCAAGGTATTGTTCTATAAAGCATTGTTTCCAAGATTTTTCTTTACTACTTTCAAAAGACACCGTACTAACGGAATAGCTTCCATTTGAACTATCTCTATCGTCACTACCTTCCCCTATTTTTCGGTATTTAGAAATTAAAGAACTTTCCGATTCATACTCCGTACTTTCGGTGCATTTATAAAAAAAGTATTCAGGCATGGTTCTGTTTGGATAAGGCTCTTTTGGCCAAAAGGTTTTATACTTTCTTTCCCAATAGTAATCGTCATGTAGTTTCATTACAGCTAGCTTTAAAGGGATATCCATGGGTAAATAATCTAGTAGTATACTTCGATCGCTGTATAAAAGGGTATCCAACTGTATGGGGAGATCTTAGAAAAGAAAATAAAGGTGTTTCTGTTGAAGTGAACTAATATATACTTATATAACATTTAAATGTTACATATATGGCGAAGACAAACATTAAAATAGTACAAAGTATCTAATTAGAACTACTTAGGAGGATACTACATGTTGAAGAAGCATAACAATGAAACAACCCCAGAATCACCACATTCGGTACGATTTAGAAAACAAAGCTCCTAAATAGTACCGCCTGGACTCCGAAATCGTACCTTAAAAGTGGTCGTAACATGTTCGACAAAAGTATTCAAAAGTGAAAAATAACAAAAAAAAGAGCAGTTTTGATTGATAACATATATTCTAAAAATAACTAATCAAAGTTTGCATACATAAACAAATAAATCAAAAAGATGCCCTAAGTACCACAAAACGGCGGTTACGTGGAGAGATTGGTTGGGTGTTATTGTTAACACTTGTTAATACTTAATCTGAATATTCGTCGTATATGTTTAACCACCACAGCAAGGAAGGCGCTAAAATCAACTTCACATGCTTCACAAATCGAAAACTTACCAATAAACAGTGATTATAGATTATGTTTAATTGAGACTATAATTATCAAGTAAATCTTTTTAAAATAGAACAAAATCTCGCAATTTCTTCAAAATGCATCAATTTGCATGAAAATTTGGGATTACGCTCAACTTACCCTCCACTTTACAATCTTTATTATGCCGATGGGCGCCATTCATTTTTTAGGGGTAAAAATTGCCGCTTTTTGCCAATGCCCTTAAATCTATATATATACGAGGGTGGATTGATAAGTTTCCGGCCTGACCAAGAAAAACAAGGTTTTTAAAAAATTTTTTTTTTTATTTCTCAACATAATCTCCTCCAAGGCTGATACATTTCTCATAGCGGTGTTCCAGTCTATTAATGCCATCTCTATAGACTGATTCGTCAAGCTCCTCAAAATAACCATTTACAGCTTCGATTACTTCTTCATTGTCCGCAAATCTCTTACCGCCAAGCCATTTTTTGAGATTAGGGAACAGAAAATAGTCACTCGGGGCTAGGTCTGGAGAGTAAGGAGGGTGCGGCATAAATTCAAACTTTAGATCGTTGATTTTAGCCGTCGCAACGATTGACGTGTGCGCTGGTGCGTTATCGTGATGAAACAAGATTTTTTTCTTCGCCAGATGAGGTCGTTTAATTTTCACCTCGTGGCTCAAACGTTGCAATAAGTCTGCGTAGTATTGACCAGTGATAGTATTACCCTTTGCAAGGTAATCAATGTATATAATACCTCTTGCATCCCAAAAAACAGTAGCCATAACCTTGTTCGCCGAAAAAATTGTTTTTGCCTTCTTTGGAGTTGGTTCCCCTGGTCCAATCCACTGTTTAGACTGTTCTTTGGTTTCAGGAGTATAGTGGTGGACCCACGTTTCGTCAACGGTTACGAATCGACGCAAAAATTCGCTTGGATTACGCTTATACAATGACAAATTTGCGGTAGAAATGTTTTTTCGAATCAATTTTTGGTCGACTGTTAGCAAACGCGGCACCCATCTTGCACAGAGCTTTTCCATATGCAAATGTTGGTGCAAAATATGTTGCACACGTTCATATGACATCTTACAGGTCTCAGCTATCTCACGCACTTTCAATCTGCGGTCTCCCAGCACTATTTGATGAATTTTTTCGATCATATCTGGAGTTGTGACCTCAACGGGGCGTCCTGAGCGAGGCCCATCAGAGGTGCTCACACGACCCTTTTTAAACTCGGAAACCCACTGCTTAACGGTTGAATATGACGGGGAGGATGTCCCCAGTGTTGAGTCCATCTCTTTTTTAATTTCCTTCGGCGTTAACCCCTTCAAATAAAAGTATTTGATGACAGCACGATTTTCCTGCTTTTCCATTTTTACGAAAACCACAGAGGCGTCTTGTTCAGCGTGCTGTCAAACCTACACTAGCAAGGAGATCGGGCTGAAACTATAGCTACAAGCTATCCAAGGATGGTACTATAGAATGTCACCTCAAGGTAGGCCTAGTGGCGTCATCTCTTGGTTAGGCCGGAAACTTATCAATCCACCCTCGTAAGGCTTAAGGTAAGTAAAATTTGTAAGTTTTTACAAAAGCTACAAGGCTATTTACATTAAATCCATTTAAAACTCTTAGTTTTAAAAGAGGGTGAACTTAAAGAATTCAAGCAAGGTTGTGCTCACATACAAATACACTTTAAACGACTATATCACACTTAATTTTTGTCCTACAAAAAATTTATGGTGAACAAAATGTTTGGAATTGAAAAAGCTACAATTTGATACTGAAGCATTTTTTACGTATCACTAGCAGTTTTGGAGTTATTTTAAAGAAAAGGACATTTTTTACGAAATTGCAGAAGTTCATTTTTCACTTTTATTTTCAATTATTTCAAAATCAAGTATTCTAAACTGCTCAAACTTCTAGAATGTATTAATAATACATAAATAAAAAGAACTGATTTTTTCGTTTTTCGCTGAAAAAGGTAAAGAGCGACTTTATTTTCATCATAACACGTTCATTTCTTATGCTAAAGATTTTTTAAAAAAAGAAAAGAGATGCTATGTTTTCTCGAAAAATGCATAGTTTTCCCGTTATTTGACTTTGAAACTCTCTAATTTAACGTTTGACGAACAAGAGCTAACCTTTACCTACAGCACTCATTAAAAAAACATTTTCTTTGTTTTCTTTTACAATCTTTTTTATAAAATGCATACTTTTAACAAGTTAAAAACATTTCATTTCATTTCTATGAAAAACAGATACATTCGGTCGCGAATGACTCGAAAAGTATTAATTTTACAAAAAAAAAGTATAGAACACTTTTTGCTTAAAATTAATTTTTCTGTCTATGGTCAAATTATAATAAAAAACTTCCACTTCCGAGATGGGGTGGCAACCACTTCCAGCGTTCCCTTTAGCACAATATAGATTTTGATCCTTAGGCTATTCCCTACCTATCGTCAAAATTGCTAACCTCCCTTTCCTGGACTATTAATTAATAACGATAGTTCGAGATGGAGTATTTTCTGCACTTACTGTACAAATATTGAATAACAATATTCTTGTATATTTCTATTATTTCTTTGAATATTATACAACAAAGTATAACGTATACAAAAGTTTCTGCACTTACCTTGCCAATGTTTAGCGATACATTTGATAGAAAATAGTTTTAAACTGTCTGGAATATTTTTATTCCACTCTGTAAAATCATAACTTCGAATTTTTTGATTAGTATTTTTTGCACAACAATCTGGAACCTCGTAACACTTCAGCACATTTTTGTTAATTTCATGTGGAATTATCATAGTAACAGATAAAACCCTTTTAATAAAAAAGCTTCTCCAAATGGGTAACTTCCAGCTAACTACATAAAATATGGATCAAACAAACGGTAACATATAAGGTACGTAATGAGGTACAATGTATTTCCTCTTACTATAAACTATACGAATATATGACCGTAGTCACGAACTTTTTTAGAGGGGCCTAATAGTGAAAAATCAAATAAGATATCTCAAAAACATTACGCAGTTTAATAATTACATTTGTTACATGAGGATTATAAATAATGTTATCAAGAAGCCACTTGATGTTTATTAAACATACGCCAAAACTTAAGGGTTTCTGTTTCGAAGATACAGAGCGAAAAACAAAACAAAAGTAAATGTATCCTAGTGTTGCAATAGACCTCTCCTTCCGCTTCCACAATTACGGAAGTTCCGCATACATTTCCACATCCGCTTCTGTATCTTCAAAAGCTTATCGGAACTTAACAAAAACTTATTTCTCATCTTTTTGAAAATCAACATATCGGAACAATAAAACAAGTCGTAAAAATTTATTCTTTTTTCTGTTGGCTGAACTTAGCCGTTTTCAAAACACAATTTACTTAAATGGAATTGCTCGTTGCAAAGTTGTATATTGTGCAGGTATGTACTTGCTCCAGCTTTCAACGACTCCTCTGTAACATTGTGAACGTATTAATTAACAGCCGTTTATGTTTATTAAGTATAAGCGTCAATGCAGCGTTATAGCCGGCAAAATTTTAATTATAATATTGTCCCTGTGCAAATAACTTTACTATACTTTAGGGTCTAAATCTATATCCTAGTATTTCGTAAGTTGATATTTTCCAAATTTTATTCCCTTATTAGTTTCCTACTTTAATCTAAAAACGTCTAGGACTTTCAGCTCCCCCTTAACCAATTCTCCTAATAATTTCATTTCGAAAATACTAATACAGTTATAGCGTTTATTTATTTTGTATAGTGCTTCCTCAGTGGTGTAAATTTTAAGTTAAAAGTGCAATTTTGAAGTCAAAACGAAATTCCGTTTGCGATTATTTTGTTCATATTTGCGATGCTAAATGCAAAACAAAATATTCTAGAAAAGGACGCACGACCACTACATTAAAGAATCACCTAAAAGCATTAAACTTCCGTTTCCGCTTCTTTTTTAGGGCAGTGGCGCACTTAAAATATTTTAGGTAAATTTTAAGAGTTTCTCATAGAAAAGTGCTAGAATTTAAGTTTCGGAAGAGCTTTACCCCCTCCATAACTACGTACCCGCTAGATATAGTCAAAACTGAAATTATCGACGACAAACTTTCAAGTTTGTTTTGCTTTCATTGCAGCTGATTATACGCAGCAATACCCCATGAGAAAAGGGGATGTGGGTGATGATGATGATGATGTTATTTTTAGTGGTTCTAATAAGTTTTGATTAACAGAAATATTTGCTTTGTAGGTAACTTTGACAATTTAAAATAAGAAATTTGCTTTTTTTTGCATTGTTTTGTAAAAACCATTTCGAGAAAACATGAATAGAATACACCACACGAATTCCATGATTTTTAAAGCTCCCCGTTTATGCTCCATTCGGTCAATATTTTATGACCCCCCCTCCACCTCATATATTAATATAACTGGTAACATTTTAATGTCTTTTATTAACATTGAATTTTATATTTATACATGTGACCCTTTCCCCTCACCCTTAATGTGTGACGTAATTTATGAATGGCCCCAAAAGTGAAAATTCTCCAACCAATAACCACGTATATTTTTTGTAAGAAGAACAAATTTTTGTATTTCCTGTTTTTTTTGTTTTAATTCATATACATACGTATTAGTTAGGGATGGCACGATAAGACAGAATACATTTAATTTTTATTTACTGTTAGAACAAAATACACATAAACTATCGCAATGTTATGCTTTTACGAACAACATGCCTAGATACTGGTTGGAGAGTTTTCACTTTCTTTTGCTTTGTTTTGCTGTTATCAAACTTGATCAGGTGAAACTTCGATATGACAGCTTTTTAGAAAGTTTAACTTTTCATGTTTGGAAAATCCGTGATTCGCTTAATAAATTGTTTTTGCTTTGGAATACAAGAAAAAAGAAATAACTTTTCATGATTCACATTATAAAAGTTGTCACTAAACATACATATGTGTATTGTAAAAGCCATACAATTAATAAAAACTTTTTAGAAAATTTTTATCCCCTCATACCTAAATTCTACACATCTATATTACTTTCCTTACATATTTTATTTGAGGGTATAATTAGTTGCAATAAATAAAAAACAAACTTTACAGTTTGAAAGTACATAATTTTAAAATTTAGGTAATTCCCGATTGCACTGAAGTGGGTTTCACTTTTATTTTAAATACCTTGTAAACTCTTATAAATTTTCTATAGGTACCTATCTTTTTTCTTAACTTTTATTGTAACCATATTGTAACGGAGTTCTAGAAGAGATTGAGTAACTAATGGTAGGATAATAATAGATATGTAATGATAGGAGAAAATGCCTGTCTTAATATCGAAATAATTGCCTTTCTTAAGTTCATATTTGTTTAGCAGGAGTGATCTTTTTTAAATTATAACAGTTGTATTTATTACAACCTTACAAGCAATTAGAAAGTTTGAATCTAACGAAAATAAATAAAGAATTAAAAATATTTTTAATATATTGACTCTGCAAAAGAAAAATCCCATAAATAAGTGTAGATACCGCGCTGTTGAGTTGTTTTACCTTTTACAATATTTAATTATTTGAAAATTGCCGCTAAACATAAAATCGGTATCCACTAATCGTAAATAATATATGTGTATAAATTTTAGGTAAGATTTAAAAGTAAAAAGATGTGACGAACGAAATTTCTTAGGCTGACAAATATATAGCGTATGCGTACCGAGTGCGCCATCTACTCACAATATTTCGAAATGGCAATTTTAGTACTGTAGGTTGCTACACATTTTAGCTTGCGAAGCTTTTTAAAATTACTTCTGTTAGACGTATTCACTAGATGTCAGCTTAAACTATAGAGGACTCTAATCTACCTTATAGCTTTCTAATCTACCTTGATAGCTATCTCAAATTTAGAGGTAGCTTAGGAAAACGGGGACTTTTATTTAATCTATAATTTAATTTCTGTACCAAATGAATTACTGCCGGTTGAACTTTGAAGATTTAATTAAATACTTGTGAATAAGTAGTCTTTCGTTTGAGCGCCAAATGATCTTTTTTTTGTTTAAACGTTCTTTTTGCTCATAAGAATCCCTAAGGAAAGCAAAGAAATTTCGATAAAAAGACTAGGGAATAAAAAGGGATTCATCTGGCAGTGCTAATTTTTTACTTGTTAGCATCTTGTCGCTGTAACGTACGAAAAGAAATTTCGTTCCAAAAACACTTAGTTAAACGTCAAAAACTCATTCTTCTTTAATGTAAAATTAGGTATCATTAAACCCAGAAGTTATCGAACTCTTTTATTCATTATGATAGAAGATAATTTTTATACTAAAAAATAACTTGCATTTCTCAAAGTTTACTTCCCACTAGTGATTTTAAATAATCAAAATTGTTATAAACTCTTTATTATTACCACCAGAAATAACAAAACCAGTGACATACATTTATTTTTATTTATTTCGCTTTTGCCGCTGGTTCCGCTGCTTTTGCGGGCTTCTTAGTAGCATCCTTCTCCTTCTTGGACTTAGTTGAGGACTTTTTTACCACAGGCTTCTTCACGCCTTTTTCTGCGGACTTTGTTGCAGACTTTGCTTTTTTACCAGGTTCTTTTTTTTCTTTTGGTTTCTTCACTTTAGCACTTCTTGCTTTCAAAATTGCAGCTTTCCTCACTGCTAATAATTTCGCCGTTCTTACTGCAGCATGTGTTGGTGGTAATGTTTTCTGCAAAATATATATATATATATATATAATACATAAACAGCTTCATTTTTAGAACGCTAATGACAAAAGAAATGAAAAATCTTTACTATAAGTATCGACTTATTTATCAACTTAAAAACGGAATTTACGACATTTATTATAAAGTTAGGAAAATAAAAAACTGAAGTTTAACAGAAGTCATGGTTACTTACACCCTTCTTCTTCGCTAACTCTTCTTGCTTTTGCAAAATGGCTTTCTTGGTGGTAAGAATAGCATGCCGTTTCAAAACAGCAGCGAACGGGTTAAGACGCAGAAGAGCTTTCGTGTTTTTGAGAGGATTGAGGCGACGAACTCTACGAATGACCTTCTTTCTAAAAAAAAAACAAAAAAACTAGTGAACCAATTTACACACTTATTCCATTAGACTTAATAATTCAAATAATCAGATGTCAACGACTAATCATTGGATATCATAACCCAGTGCTCAAAAAGATTTCATCATTAATTATCTCCTATTGTATTGTAAGATGCAATAATTTTAATGTAAAATAATTATTCCAAGGATTATAGTATTCGTTACAATTACTTTTTTACTCTTTTTGTAATACGCTTCAATTAACCATTTTAATACATCACAACCATGACTTTGGATTTCTATAATACTTACTGTGGTGGACGTAGGACTTTACGAATTTCATCAGCTTTAAGAAGCCGAGACAAATCACTATTAGACATCTTAGGTTGAGGAAGGTTGTAACCTGCAAACAGAACGAAAAAGGATATACATATCAAAAGTAGTATAACTAATAGACTTCATTAATTATAATACAATTAACTCAAAATTATATCTTATGCAATGATTTATTACCAGCTTTTTCTTGAGAACGTGTCTTCCACGTTCCGAAAATTTTGTCAAGCTTTTCAAAAGCAGACTGAGTCCAAATTACGAAACGACCAACATGGCCACCGGGGGCAAGTTTCAAAAGGTTCAACTTATCAACACTGACCAAATCGATACCGGGAATATTTCGGAAAGCACGGCGTAATCCCTGGTCTTTATGATAAATAATAAGAGGCCCTTTACGTTGAATGCGCCTTCTATTTCGCAATTTTCCTTTACCAGCACGGAACCGCTGAGACTTGTACACCTAAATTTTACAAAAATAACATCTTTAGAAACTTAACTCACAAAAACATGTACTTGAATTATTGAATTTAAAATTCAGAATATTCTATATCTGTCATAAAAAATATCAGAAACACAGACCAAGAGTTTTAAATCATCATAAGTATTTATAATAAAAACTTTGAAGAATCAAAATGGAAAGCAAAATACAGAAACACCCCTGCTAGATAAAAACAACTTTTATGTCAGTGTATTTAAATTATTAGCAATGCAAAATATTCTTAAAATATCAATCACTTAATAATTTTTAAAATACAAAATCACATCACTTACCTTTTGAATATCACCCCATGCTTTAATTCTTCTCAAAAAGATTACAGCTTGCTTAGTCTTTGTGAATTCTTGCACTTTGTCAGAGACGACTAGTGGCAATTCAGGTATTTGTTCAACAATGTGCCCCTTGCTCATAACAAGTGCAGGCACACCACTAGCAGCAATAGCAGAAGCAAGAGCATAACGGCGCTGGTTTACATTTACTCGCCGATGCCAACGTCTCCATTGTTTTGTTGGTGCAAACATACGACCACCTCTACACATGTTACCAAAAGCACCTTGACCAGATCGGTGGGTACCGCCACCACGAACACGAGGAATACGGGCAACAGCCCGACCAGTACCCCATGATTCAGCAGATGTTTGATGACCTAACAATCATATTATTATTAACTCTTTGGTTGTAATTTTCTAATATAATTACCCCTTTACAACCTCTCAGAGCTTTTGAAGAATATAATCAATATTATTCAGAAACACGGACCAAAAGCTTAATCATCACAATAATTATAAAACTCAACACATTTCTATAATAACTTTCACTAGAGGGCCCCAAACAGTATTTAACTATTTGGTTTGGTCCCACAGCTATTCACACATTTGTGATTCTATTAATAAAGTTCAGTAAAATACTTCTTGACATACTCAAATGGTCTTACATTTTTTTTTAAATATTACAGATGATAATAACAGAATAAAGAATTTTTAGGAAAAACACTTCAACCAGGGTGTTATTTACAACCTTATAGTTATCAAAGGAACAAATAAATACCTCCCATTTTCTAAACTAAAATACTTAATAAAATATTAAAACAATTTACAAACCTGCCTTGTCACTAACGCAATATGCTTGTCGATGGTTCATTGACAACTGTTGGTGAACAAAATTTACTACATCAGGCCTGATTGGAGCTTTGAATACAACAGGGAGAGACAATGTTTCTCCTTTAACTTCTTCCCCTTTCTCATTGTAAATACTTACAAGGGGGCGAGCTGTAGACAATGCCTAAAATATTTAGGAAACAAGTTTATTAAAAATAAACATAATAGTAGTCCTGTTAACTTTTACAAAGCTAATACAATCCTAACTTCTTAATAGCAATATTAGCAATAGGTAAAAAATACTGCACCAAAACACGTGGGCACCTAACCGTGTATGGAGTAAAAATTGCAAAGATATTAACTTTCTATTCCAAGAATATTCCGAAAAGAAATCATGCAAAGTTACTTTAAACGAAAAATAAATACACTTACCATTTTTCTAAGTTAATAAATCACTCACTTTTTATACACACCAAAAGCGAACATGAAGTCCGCCATTCAAGAGGAAGTAAATTTCCTAACGTTTATACAAGAGGTCGCTACACAAGTGCATCCGAATATCCTTTCCTTTTTAGCGGGAAATTTAAATTTTAACAATTTATTTATCATATATCGTTAAAATACTGTCTTCATAAATATTCTTAAAGATTATAAGTACAAAATGTATTTGAACGTTAATTATAATTGTAGATAACTTCAGTAAAACCAACTATAATTCTAACTAGTTTTAAGCAAAAACCAGTGCCTATCAAAAGTTTTAACAGTAACAAAAACATTTCATTAATTTTGATATACCATTTAAAATACACTATTAAATAAAAATAATTGATTCCCACTTGGATGTGCGAAAAAACACTTGTTTTATGGACATGTAATTTTTGTAGGTACCATGTTATTGTTTATTACTATTATGGAGAATTAAAGAAAGTTTTAATAATATATATATTATGTTTGTTCTCTGGAATAATTAATAATGTATGAAATATCGCAAAAATTAGGAAAATGAAAACTGTCTCCCCCTTTTATAATTTCTCTCTCATAAGTGTACTTTGCTCAATAAATGTCTAAATTAAATGAATAAAACTATGAAATTCGAAGGAGCACCGAAAATAAAAGGAAACGCTTAATGTTTTTATTTATTTTATTTTTGGTTATATTTATATGATTTTACAATACAAAATTGCTATCTACGAGTCCTTTTGGACTCAAAGAACGTATCACATAAGTACTTCCTGCAGGAGGCTCCGGTATTTTACCATCTACTTTTATTTGAGCTGTTGTAATATACATGGAACTTAGTGAACTGTCTCCAAAACAAATGGCTGTTACCTAGAAATTCAAATAAATGTACTAAACAATTGCAACTTTTAGATAACAGATAACAACGATTATCGTTTTTCTGTTATACCTGTGGTGTGGGCAGCATTATTGTGTTTAGTAAAGTTCCACTATTTGGATTTATTCTAATTACCCTAGAACCATGAATTACAGCAATCCATAACATATCTTCGGTATCAATCAACATACCATCAGGAAGGCCTGGTATATGATGTTTGCCGAATTCAAAAATTACTTTTCTATTACCTAAATTTATTTAGCATTGATACAGATTGAACTTCATTTATATATTAATGTTCTTACTTATGTCGCCTGTATTTAAGTCGTAATCATATTCGTAAACACCAGGAAATAATGTATCTATGTAGTACATTTTACGAGTTTTTATGTTCCATGCACATCCGTTTGAAATGCTAACGTTTCCTTCGTGTTTTTTTATTGTTCTTCTACTTAAACTGTACAAAGAGCCCATTTTAGGGATTGTTACACCATCGGGACCAGTTGGCCCCATAGTTCCTGGAACGTGCATACATTCTCAGAAAAATTATATAAACAAATCAAGTTCATGTACAATATTATCTATTTATTTTAAAAAATTGATTTGTTGAGGTTTCTGTAAAAAATTGGGTAAACTTTCAGGTAAAAAAATGGTACTGACAGTGAAATCTAATCGTATCTAAGTAAATATGGGTTATCTACGCTTCATACGAAATTAGAATATAACATCTAATTAATGGAAAATATTGTTTTCATATGATCTTTTAAAATAATGAAAATTAAATGTATTTTATATTAGAAGAGGAATTTACAATAAATACATTGGTCGGTATTCATATCACAATTAAAAATGTTTAGAACCGCAGGTTAATCTTGTTCATTACAGGTGCTGCAGGTGGTTGCAGGTAAAACAACTCTGTGCTGTCTAGCGTTATTTTGCCAATGTATTTTGCTCAATTTTACTTTTTGTTGGACAACTTTCCTGAACAAAAACCTGTATGGAAAAAGAAAAGGAGGGGGCTGTAAGTTCCTCATTTTGGGTTGGTTTACTGTGTTGCACAACTGCTGAGTTGAATTATTTCTTAAAGTGTATGTAAAAATAAAAAACTGATATGCCCAAAGTTTTACGAACAAGTGTCGAAAAAAATGTTAACTCCTTTTATTCTGAATGGCGATAAATAAACAATGTAACCGTTACGTGGTATTTAAAAACATTATTATAAAAAAGTGCAGAACATGGCATTTTTATGCCCAGTTAGGATTCGCCGTGGAAAAAAGAAGAAACTCAGTTCAGAGGGAGAAAAGGATCTAACAAGAACTGGGTCTGGCCTTGCTCCTGGGATGGGAAGAATAACTGGGTCTGCCAGTATAGAAACGCTGGTAAGAGTAGGAATAGAAAAGGAACATGGTCTATCTCCAGATAGTAAAATGGTAGTGCTTCATGACTTCACACCTTGTGTTGATGATGAACTCGAAGTAAAAAGAGGTCAAGTGGTAAATATTCTTTATCGAGAAAATGACTGGGTTTATGTAATTGCTGTAGACTCTAGGCAGGAAGGTTTCATTCCTCATTCATACTGTACACCCTACAACAGTCACCTTGCTGATTTAGCTATTAAGAAAAAGTTACCACGGAATTGCCAGGCAGTTTCGGCCGATCAGCATGATTCTACTCCTGATAGTGAAGTTATTTTAGCTGAAAGTGATAACGATTCTGTGGAAAAGAAGAGAAATGTGGCTAGTTCGCCTATTAGCATACATTCTGAACCTGACATGTTGCCATTTGCTAAAGACCCTTCAGGTCGCTTTATAGTACTTTATACTTTTATTGCTAGAGATGAGAATGATGTATCTGTAGAGCGTGGTGAATTTGTTACTGTTTTAAATAGAGAAGACCCAGACTGGTACTGGATAATTAGGAGTGATGGACAAGAGGGTTTTATTCCTTCAGGATTTGTGTATCCAGCAGATAACGTAATCAGAGGATGTAATGCAAATGCAGCAGCAGCTCAAAATGCAAATGGATCCTATTCAATGCAGAACACTTCAAATGCAGATGATCTGCGTTATCATGGTACAGAATTGGTCATGTTATATGATTATAAAGCTCAAGCACCAGACGACCTATCAGTTAAAAGAGGAGATTGGATTTATGCTGATTTATCTAATCAGACTGTTGATGGATGGCTCTGGGCGTATGCTCCCAAGACAAGGAAATATGGTTTCATACCAAAAGCATATGCCAGACCACCTGCCATGACAAGCCTTTAAATTAACTCAAAATATATATGTAAATTTTTTTATAAATTTCGCAAGTGTTTGTATATCTACATATATTTAAAAATATATATTTAAATGCATTCTGAATTTTTTAATAATTTCTGTTATTGTTTAGATGCATATGCCAAATTTTATTGGCAATTGATCACAGGAAGTTAATTCTTGGATCAATTTTTGTTTGTAATACTCCAGGAACTAACAGTTTAGATTTTAATTTTTCGGTTATTAATCATACTCTATGTTCTTACAATTACACGTTATTTGTACCTGCCCAAAGTCTTCCAAAAGGATCTATCTTTCCACAGTTCAATCTATTGGAAGATAGATTTGGTTCTGTATCAACTTCTGCAATTGTTTCAACTGAGGAAACGTTGCTACTTATTCCGTCCCATTTTATTAAGCAAAATTTTCTCCCCAAACCAGCTATGAATTGGTCAGACTTATTAGCAACAGGGAACATAAATCCCAACGGTTCATTTCCTGTTTAATAAAATACGTGATGTTTTAATTATTAATTTACATAATCGATTTAGAACTCATTTTTTAAAAATTACTTACCCACCTTAGCTTTTACAACTTTCTCTTGTGAAGGAATATATTTGTACACTGTACTGTTTGGTATATCCACAAGATAAAGACATTGTTTTTCAGCATCCCAGTGGGGCCTGGTACCTACGTCCAAGGGTTCAATAGGTAGTTTTTCGATTTTTACGTCACTCGTCATTTGTAGTTACCACTTTAGACGACTTGAAAAACTATACTTCAAAAACAACGTACTTAATAATTTAACCACGCTGATAAAGATTATCAAGTGTTTACATAATATTATTTATTACAAAAATAAAATAATCTCGTTTTGCAACTGATGTTTGTAATTTAAAACAAGACGGAATATTTTATTAAGATAATTTCAAACACTTACCCCTAGTATTTCTTACAACACGATTTCGATGCCCGTAGTATTATTCTAAGGTATGAACTAATATTTAAAATGACAAGATTCGTGAAATCAAATTGTGAACTAATTTTCGTGTCTTCTATATGAAAAGAATAGTGGTTTTGAGACTCTTAGCAGTTTGTAAATACACCTATATTTTTTCATAAATATATGGTTGTTTTATAATATAGATAAAAAATGCCCACTTCTATTCTAAACCCCTAATCTTTGTAACTATCTATAAGATAAAACTTGTGCTATTTATAATACATATTTTTTATTTACGTAATTTTTGGAATACTGTCAAAAGTTATGTGGTAAATAAATATAAATACCTACATAATTTTATTTGAAATATAATAGAAAAATTGAAATACTTCTTCAGATTTAATTTTTTTTAACTTTAAGTGATTTGTATCATCAATACAAATTAGATATAAAACAAGACTTAAGTTACAAGTTTTTCATGTGAAACTGGCTTAGAAAAAAAAAAATAAAACCAAATTTAACGCTTAAGAAAAAATATGTTTTATTTTTCTTAGGAAAACAACAACGCAATCAAACGCACAATCAATTGGTTTTCGATTTATATACACATTCAATTATTCCTGTAACTCACTTTGAAAAACAAACAATTAAAACGGCTTAAAATGTACATTCAACGCCCAACTGTTCATTATTTTTAAAAAACGTTTGTTCGAAATTTCGAGTACGGAAGCAATTCGATTAATTATATCCCGTTATTACCAGTAATTAGTTATACAAAATGTTCAATATTCAAAAAGAAGATCTTCGATCGCACTCATTCCAGATGATCCGCTCACGTAAGAATCGTTGCTATTGTCTGATAAGTCTGTCCAACTTACATCAGAGTCACTACCATCATTGTCACCTCCATCTCCCCCATCCCCTTCGTTATTACCATTGTTGTCGTTATTGGCAACTTCTTCAACAACATCCATTACCACCGTATCTAAATAAACACGAAAAGTTATAAATACTCCGACTAATGGGCATAATATTAACAGAACTTTGCTTAAAATAGTGTCCAACTTAAAACATAATACATCCATAAAACGTACTGTAACTGTATGAAAACATATAAATTAAGAAAATTAAAAATACTGTTATAAATGTGTATCATCATGATTTCTGAATTAGTTAAAAAATTAGCTCTAAATCTTTAAAAGTAACATAAAATAAATAACTTGCCATTTTCTGAACCGTCGTCATCAGACCCATCCATATCTTCTTCATCGTCTTCTTCTTCCTTAAATAAATAGTATAAATTTAGAATTGGAACCTAATCTTATTAAATGCAATAAAAATAATAATTACCTGTTCATCTTCGTCGTCTCTTCTTCGCCCAACATCATATATTCTAACAACAGATTCTTGTACGGAATGATAAGCACCTTGGTTTTCAACAATTGCTATTTGTGAATCAAATTTATTTACCGCCAAATAATAAATGCTTTTTTTTACATCGATTGTGGCTAGAACCAAAATCAAGAGTACAAAATTACATGCACATTTTCATGACTAGTTATAAAGGAAATAAAACTTTTATCGATGTTTATTTTTGTAGTTATTTATGTATATCAAAGAAATTTAGAAAATTTGAAGGAACAGGGAGTTTAAATAAGGATGATGTATTAAAACACAAAAAAATGTTTGCAAGCATTAAAAACTATATTTGTTATTTTTACTTACCAATGCTCGAATAATCAGTAGCGTCAACGGTTTTAAAACTGGAATCAAAAAGAGGGTCATCCTCCTGCTCTAAGGATATGGCATATATTGCACTATTAACTGGAGAAAATGTTACTTCACACTGATTCAAAACTGGCACTGTTTTCAACAACTGGAATGTTCTTATGTCCCAAACTTCTGTGTTCGAAACAATCTGAAAGTAAACGGCTAATTTTAGTGAACTGGAGCAAAGAAAACATTTTAACAAATTGAAAAAATATTTTAAAGTTTTATAAATAAGAATTTGTATAAGAAACATTTTCAAATTAATATGAAACCTTTATATTTTGTTTAAATTTATCACGATATAAATATAAACTTATAAGTTATTCATTACTTACTTCAAGGCCATTAGGGTGAAAAACGCCACTTTGCATTTGATTTAACTTATCTAACTTGTGAATTTGTTGACTAGTGTTAACATCAAATAACACTCCATCAGAGAGGACTAAGTCATCAAAAGGACTAAAAGTGGCTTTATTTCTTGTGTAATTATTGCTAACCGTAGGAACTAATCTGCTTATCGCGAGTCCAGTATTAACATCATAAATCTGTAACATATAAAAATACATGATAATACAAAATTGATTAATATAGCAAGGACCAAGTAAAATGCATAGCATTGGCAAGAAAAGCAAAAATTGAAACTTCTTATGTAAATACAATATATACAAATCGCGATACATGGTAGATGTATTAGCTTAAGAAACTCATCAATTATTAAAGAATGAAGGTGTTTAACGATAATGTAAGAAAAATTCAAATGAAGATAGACGAAAAACGAAATTCGTGTAACTAAAACTGTAGCTGGCCCTTTTAAATTTAAGACATGTCCTCTTAATGCTTTTATCAATATTTTTTTCATTTTGTCTTTTCTAGAGCAAAATATACAAACAAGAATGTATTAATCAACGTTGCGATCAAAATAACAATAGTGAAAAGAAGGCGATTTTCTACAAAATATACCTGAAACTGCTCAAGCTCCTGAATCTAAAAAAGGCATGAATATTGATATAATAAAAACAAATTTTGATAATAACATTATTAAGTAGATATGCCTTAAATATAAAAAGGGTAGCTAAAATTTTGGTTGTATTCATTCTATTTTTTACTAATTTTCAGAACAATTTTTCTTACATTAAAGTCCTTATCTTTTGTTGTAGCCTAAAATTTTATAACAAGAACAGAAATTAAAAATTTAATATCGCAACTGTACAAATAGATATTTAAGTAAAATCAATTACTTTACAAAAATGTATACATACTGTTGCTTCTTCTCCTTTTGTTCCAATTATTTTGTCTTGGGTGGTTTTACTAAATTCCAAATACTCATCAGACTCAAATGCGTACCTAGAATTACAAAATTTATTAGATATCGAATATATTATACAATCACAATTATCTTACTTCATTTCAAAACCATTCGGAGACCATAATGCTGATAAAGGCCTTCCCCACCTCGAACTTGACACTATCAGACTTCCTTCTCTGTTTGGTTCAATGTGATCCACGTAACTATCGTGAGCTTGAAAAGACGACTCTTCGTTTCCGGTATGTAAATTAAAAAAGCGTATTTCTCCAGAATATTCACCCACTATTACACTTTGGTCGCCGGGCTAAAACATATTGCAATAGTTAGAAGAATTCATTTAAATAATAGACTTCCCTATGTAGAATGTAATTTTACTGACATGAAATAAATTATTTAATTAAATAATAAAGAATGGAGTTGATAATCATTTTAAAGTCTTTCTTGAGACGTAATAAAATGCTAATGAAACAACTATTTTCAATGTTCCGATAATGTATGTAAAATATAGACGTACTGTAAATCTAACACAAGTAAAAAACCCATCGTCTGTTGGTAATCGAATGGTCTGCACAGGACAAAAACGACTATGAATGAGCTTTCTGTCTAACGCTTTACTTTGATAACCTAAGGTTCGTCGAGCACATCGCATAACAAAATTATTGGCTGCCTGTATTTTTGGCTTCGGATCTGGACACTTGTGAGGCCTGCGAAATTAAAAAATTTAGGCAAAAAAGAACTTATTTTTTTTTTTACTTTAATTACATATGATACAATGTTTTACATTTATTACGATAAATATTGGAAAAAGAGGAACTGATTGTATTTTTTATAAGTCTTAAAGAAAGATCCAAACATAAAAACAGGAAAAATTCTGAATTGAGTGAACTTTTTTCTTTTTTATTAAAATTAGAAGTTAACTTAGTTAAATATTAACAGTTAACTTTTAAACTGAAATGATCTATGGAATTAGAATCAATTGTTAATAAGAAAAATAACAAAAAATTAAATACTTGAAGGGGCTCATAAAAAAGACATACTTACACGAATAAATTAAACTGAGGACAAGTAGCCATAGGATTTTTACACAAAGCGTGCTGATTTGTTAAGTATTCCGTTATAATCGAATCTAATGTTATTCGTGGCTCTAAACCGTTAAGAGACTCGTCACTATTATTACTAGATGGTGGCATTACGACTTTGAATAAGGGTTCAGAAGACAACTGCTTTTGTAATCGCGCATTTTGCATAGGCGAGGAATGTGGCTGTGGTGGATTTTTTCTGCAAAGAAAAATGTTTGTTATTCCCAACAAAATATACTGTCAACACGAATAGACTTACTTAACCAATTTTATTTGGTGTTGTGAAGGTCCGTTAAAAAGGGTGGAACTTGAAGATGAGGAATCTAAACCTTGGGAAGCTGTCGACTGACTATTTCTAAATGATGATGTAAATGATAATCTTTGCTAAAAAAGAAATACATTATTTCAAATTTTCACGAATGTGAGTAAGTAATAAAGGGCATTGTTTGTGCATACATCCATATACAAGAAGTTAATGTTATGAATGACCTAATAACGTTTTTTTATGTTAGTAGTAACACAACACTGAAAATTTCAAAAGCGTTTAGTTATTTTTATTTGTTACCTAATTATTCATATATTTATACTAAGTATAAATATATAAGTAAAAATGAAAATTTAAACAAAAACGAAATTTTTTAAAATGCTACAAAAATAAAAATTAATTTTGATCGACCTTCTTTTCTTTTAGGTCAAAATTTGTTAACAATTACAATAAATTAACTGAAAGTTTCCAAAAAGTGTTTTTTCCACAAATATCAGTATGACTAATTTTCATATAGTAGAAATCAGCTCTAACTTTTTTACAAAAATAATTTATGTATTACCAGGATATATATTAATATATATTCGTTATTTATTACTTACCCTGCTAGGTGTTAATGAAGAACTATAACGAAATTTAGTAGGCAAGGGGTTGGAGTTATGCACTGTTAGAGCACTTGTTAAATGCGCTTCTTTAAGTAAGGTGGCGGCACTGTCTTCCAAACCTTTCGAAACCAAGTGTTGATGTATTAATTGTAATAACTGTCGGTCGTTGAAATGAATTTTCGTTTGAGCCACAACGTTAGCCCTATGAATATTCGCTAAAGACACTTCTAAGTCTTTGCCATTGTGTTTCGTTTTTCCCGATAAACGTTCTAGAAGTTCCAATGCGTATTTTTGAAATGTCACATGCTCTTGACGTTTTTCTTGCAGGATTGGGTCTCTCATTAAATCTGAAAAAGTCACTGCCGTTTCAAGAAAGCATAATTAAATAATGTAATACAAAACACTGTTACTTTGCAATCCGCCCGACGTAAATAGGGGAAGTTTTGAAACTATCTGCCGCACAGTTTCGGACCTTGCCAAACCAGCTAACGCCTTACACGCCAATGTCCTTATACAGTCTGCATCTGTGATTGGTGTTTTTACTTGCATTAAAGTCAAAAGAACCTGAAAAATATATATTTTAGCGCAACTTATTAAAGTGTATAACTAAACATAATAAACATAATGCGTGAATAGAGACTTTCCCACGTATTTAACACTTAGCGGTAACTAACTCTGCTCGAGATTAATAAAATTAATATAATAGACGGACAACAGGTTCAGTAAAAGCACATGCCCGCATCATTTAGAAGTATTACAAAAATTTTTAATTTAAATTTTCAGGTAATGGGTTCAGGAATTTCAAGTTTCTGTGATGTTACTGGATAGGTGTTTCGATTAACGCGTAATGAGTATTTCAAGGTATGGCTTTTTTAATTCCATGATTTACTTTTTTGAATAACAAGGAACAACAATGGATCAAAACTACTTTAAAATAACTCACCATTATACCACTGTTAGCTCTTACACAATCCCAAACTTTCTGTATAAGTTCTTCTGAACTTTTAAACTTTGTTTTCTTGCTAGGAGAAGACGTCCCTTGGGAATTGTTAGTACTGTATCTGGCAATAGCTCCTCCAACCTGTAACAATGTCGCTTTTTTACGTAAGAAAAAAATTCAAAAAGTACACAATCTGACAGTTTTATCACTTACTCTCTGAATAGGAGCACAAACGCAATTAACTATTACTCGAAGCGCCGCCTTTTGAACATCAGGGTCCGCGACGATTTCACCATCTGCTGCTCCTAAAATTATGTTCATTCCAACCGTTAATGTTTCTTCTGGTAAATCGACACGATCACAGAATAAAAGTTGCACTTTTGGCATAACACATGCTATTGCTAAAGCATCAAGAGCACATCTAACTGTTTCAGCTCTAAAAAAAAACATCTTGTAAATAATGTAAAATAAAAAACTTTTTTCAAAAACACACCTGCCGCTGTAATTCCATTCGTAAGCAAACGCGATTATTTTTAAAAGGAGAGTCATAGCTCCAAGTTTCAACATTTGATCAACAGGTGGCCAATGTGCTCTAAATGGCATTAATTGAAATAATGATTCTATTTGTTGTTGTACTTCTTCTGGCGAAGATTTGCAGGCCTATCAATTATAGATGAATAAACAATTAAAATTATTCAATTTACCGATCTTTCGGAAATTATATATGATTATAAACAACTTGTAATTTTGAATATTACTTATATGATAAAATAAATAACAAAAACATTTCATTACCAAACATATTAATGTTCCTCAACAGCATGTTTCGGCAGAATAGCTAACATCATGCAATAATTAAGAATAGACTACTAACAGCCGCTTTTTAGATTTAGAGATGCAATCGTTATTTGATGAGTGAATTTTTCCTACTAATGCTGAATGACGCAAAATTTTTTTAAAATTTGTCCGAATAACTCGTAAAACGACTTAAAATATATTGCAAAATTCATTAATAACCAGCTTAATAATTCTTCAATACCGACAGTACGAAAATATAAAAAAAAAACAAGAACAAAAAATAAGTGGACAATTTCATTAATTTATTTTGTCAACACGACTATTGTATCGATACTACTTGCGTTATCTTCGTTTTATATTAATTTGCTATGTTTCACAAAAAATTCATCTTTGAAAGTTAGAATTTAAAAAAATTATTAACAGAAAAATGTCAACGACTTGCCTTATAACTTGGCTGCGACGGAAGTGCAGGTAAATGTTGTTTTTCATTAGGTCTCAATTGTGATCGCCGCAGCTGCTCCACTTTTATATACAAATGCGCCTCTAAGTATCTTTTATACGCTACACAGACGTGTCTCACTATTTGTCTTGCTGCACTTTCTACATCTTCGTTTAACGGCGGAGTATTTTCTTCGCTTGAAAGTATCGGTAGAGTCGAAATCTAATTATAAAAACATTTTAATTCAATAATAATAACAAATCTAGGAAACTCTCCCATTTTTTGTACTCATATGTTAACAATCTTTTGGGTACTTTTTTTAAATTCTTTCACGAGAAAAATTACAGCAAAGTGTAAAATGTTGAAACAATTTTTTTTTATTCTCAAAATAACAAAAACTTGGCTGATTTCTTTATTCGTATTGAAGTAAAACATTTTTTTTTATTTAAATTTATCAGCACATTCAAAAATTGGCAGTATTAAAAGATTAATTATTAAATAAAAAACTCAATTTCTTCTCATTTCTTTAAATATGTCATAAAACTGCGTGATAAAAAAGCACCTTACCACATTGTGCATTTTCCGTAATCCGTCTTGTTCGTCAAACTCTTCCAAAATGACTCTAAATTGAAACGTTAAGCCGAAAAACATCGTGGCATGACATCTACCAGAATCGTGAGAACACTCCAATAACCACAACGCGTATCTGCATAAAAAAATAAGTTTTAGTAAAGGCTGAACTCATGATTATAAATAATTCGGCACTCACTTAACGAGACTGTTGACGATATATTTCGGCAAGAGACAAACTCGTTCCATCGCCTCTTCACAGTATCCTAAGTAATACAAACAAATGGAAACACCTGTGGCTGCAATGGAAGGCCTAGGCACTTCAAGCAGACACTACAAAAAATAAATAGTCAGTTTTAATTGAACCATTGATTTACAAAATGTTTCAAAATCTGCAATACATATTAAAGTTAAAAAGCAATAATTTAAATGTAAATGTTTCAAATACACATGCTTTTACATGTTAATCTTTTATCGAAAGTACAAACAAATAATATGGGTTGATTTATAGACAAAAATATGTGATAAATTGTTTTAAATTTCTTATTAAAAAGTATCTCATAAAAATTCACTGTTTACATTTTATTTGTTTGGATATACAGGGATATTAATTTCATAATTTAAATTCTTAGTTCTAAGTTTAAAAGTCTCTTACCTCGAGTCCTTTACAATGAATAAATTCTATGGAAAATTTTTTGTGACATAATAAAGCTGCTAAATATTTTAAAGCTTCAAAAGCTAATCGAGCCTCTTTCGTTTCTCGGACATTCACATAACAGAGTATTAACTCGAGAGCATTATTTTCAAAGACGTGACTAAGAAACTGTAATAAAAAGTATGCAAGATATATCGCTCAAAGTTTAATTTTTACAAAACAAAATATTACCTCTTGATATTCTCCCATTGGCGTTAAATACCTTAAAATCAGTATCTGCTTTGTAGCTAGTGTAGGAGGATACATTTGCATTGTACCTATTACATAACTTTCTAATTCTGCCCATGAAGAATTACTTGTTTCAGAAAACATATGAACTGAAACAAACAGATTTGCTTTAAAAATCCCTTATTTTTAAAATTATTTAATATGAAAATATTTTAATAAAACGGTTAGTAGGTAGTAGAGGTGCACGGGATGGCGATTTTCTGACTATAGGATAATCGGGTTTAACAAAAATAATATATTTTGAGCAAATATAAGTGAATAGTAATTTTAATGAAAAAAATGTTTATATTACAGAAAATTATCGATTTTCATTTATATTGCATGGTTTTCGCTTCCTTGCCATCTCAAAACTGATGATTTCAACTTATCTGATTTCTTTGATATCAACTACATTTAACGCTATTTTTTTTAATTCTTAATAAATAAAAATGTGTGGTTTTGATATACTTATTATTGTTATTGCTGTTTTCTTAGCTCTGGTACCCAACCGGATCCAAAAAAAGGTATCGAATAGTCGGGTACCGGATCCAAACTGGGTACCTGTTCAATTTCTAGTAGTAACTAAAAAATAATATTCACCTTTACTTGTAGGACTAAACGCTTCATTTCGTATAGGTGAACCAATATCCAATTTAATCCTTTTCCTTCTTCCCTCTTCCAATTCCGTATCAGACAACTAAAAAACATGCGATAACAAACAAATTTTTTGCTAAAATGGATACTTACGTCAGTTTTTCTTATAATTTGATTTTCTAATTCGGATCTATCGGGACTTGTGATAAAAGGTGGTGAGCAATTAGGCGATTGCGTGGGCATTACACCATTCTGTTGGGTTAAAACTAAAATATTCGATTATATTAAAATTTTAAAAATATCAATCGGAAATGTATACATACTTTTATTGTTATTTACCCTTGATGGTGATTTACGATTTTCATTTTTGTAAGGGGGAGACTTTATACTCGAAAAGTGTGCAAAAGGCCGTGATGATGTACTACCATTGGCAAAATCAGAAGACTGTTGCAAGTGTCGCAACCGTTGCAATAGTAAAGGTACTAATCTACCATTTTGCTCCCTAAATATGACTTTAATTAGGTTTACACAGAATTAATTATACCGATAAATGAGCGCTACAGTACAAACCTTAATAAACATACATTAAATAGATTAAACTGTCTCAATTTGTGTGAAGCGACCAAATTACAGATTTATGAGTTGTTATATTGAAATTAATTTTATATTTAAATGTACAACACCACAACTTTAAAATTTGATACCATAAAAATATAATCATTTATAAAACTCATGCATATTAATATGTTTACCTGAATCTAGTAGCTATTTCAGGGATTTCCATTGCAGCAGCTAATAAACCAGTAGCATAACTTTGTAAAGGTTCTATGGAGTTTGTTGCCCATTTAATAAGCCTCTGAATTAATCCATCCATATCTGGCTGCATTTTGTATAACTATAAATATGAGTAGAGATGTTTACTAAATGATAAACTCACCTGAAAAACAACTGATGTCTCCAAGCCTGGTAGAATGTCCAACATTAGACGACATGCAGCTATATTCATTTCATCTATATCACGACCAGTTAAATCCTGTCGACGATTATGATTATATGTATCACGCAAATAATCATTTACCAACTAAAATACAACTTTGTAGAAATAGATATTGCATTTGAATATATTTTTACCTTTGTCATAAAATTATCTTTACGGAACAATGCTTTTAAAATCTGTCCCAATTTACAATCTGGATCTGTTCGTGATGGATGTCGTTCGTCAAATGGATCAGGATCCATTTTAAAATAATTCTCAGTTTCTACCTCAATTATTTCGGCCATCCTAAAATCATTGAGACCTTTTAAACTGTAATATATGTATTATATAAATTAAACCTGCTAAGAAACAAATTAAAATGTTGAATAGAACATTTCCTAATTTATATAAATGTAAAACAACTCATTATCACTAGAAATTTTTCATATTTAGACATAACCTTACCTGGTTAAGGTTGGGACAGGATTATAATTAGGTTGTGCATTTTCATCTTCCCAACTTCTCATCAACGTTGTTATTTCGGAGACCACATTCTGTCCGTTTTGATTTTCCATTTCTTTAAAAATTTGATTAATAAACTATACTTATATAAAACATAACCTATATGTACGAAGTTTATCACGCAACGTCAAGTAATACTTCAACCACTAGTATGTCACGCAATTTTGGGAATTGAGGCACAAGTGTTATCATTACAGTTTATAATTGCATACTCTTTATCTTACAATAAATGGTTTCTCATGTATGAAACGATTTTCTGGAAAATTGTTCTACGCGCCGACATAAAGAATGTCTTTAGCGTTACGTATGCCGGTAGTTAAATTCAACTTTTTACTGTATCTAAAGTATCTGTAAACGACTTTATGGACTCATTTCATACAAACCGGCTGGTTAGGTTGGGCAAAATTCTTTTTGCTTTAATTAATAACCAGTCCAAATAACAATCAATTTATTTTATACTTTTATCTCTTTATATTACAATTCTAATTAAGCGACTAGATACACATTTTATTCCTTAAAAATACCGTTACAAAGTTTAAATATTATTAAATAATTACTATTTGATATAGGAAATACTTTTTTAGGCAGGTACAAATAATTACTGGATCTCCATCACGTTATAATAAATTATAATAAATATTACTTTAACTACAGTATTTAGGTACTTACTTAGAATAATCACAAAACTCCTGTTTAATCCAATACATTACGTTCGTTAATGCTAATTTAAGAAAAATATCTCTTAATGTACATTAAACAGAGATCATACCAACCTATAATTTCATAGTACAATTCGTACAATAAATACAATTCACAATATTCCTTACACATTTACCTGTAATATTTGATAATTTCCTATTTCATGCATAGATTATAAATGTTTTTTATGGCCAATTGACAAAATAATAAAGCATTTTCTTTACATTAAATCCATATAACAGCTATTTCACAACAAAAGAATTAGTGAGCAGACAATAATATACTATATGGTACATGATATATGGGTTTTTTAAGACTAATTTGTCTTTATATGGATTTTACTCTTCCTTTTTATGTAAAAGTTGTTCTTCTTCCTCTTCTGCATCCATTATATCAGCACAGCAGACTGAATATATGATCAGTGATAAAAATCCTAATGGTAATCCAAAAAGAAGTGTTGTCAAAACAGGATTCCCCCACCACATTTCTCCAAGTGTAGTTCTCGCTTCAAAGTATGTTCTATACAAATTTACTGGTAAACTGTTACCACCATATGCAGGTGCACTTTGATTGAATATCTGTTCTAAAAAAAGATCAATTGCTTCTTCAGTTAATTGAGAAGGCTCATCTTCAGGAATATAATGATGATTGGTTGTCGAATTTAAAACAAGTAAATATGGTAATGGCAAAACACTCATGGCTATACTATTAGCCAATTCAGGACTTCCAATCCAACCAAACTGAAAATGCTTGTGATACTTATCTCTTTTCTTTAGAGTAATTGCTTTAATTCTGTCACGAAACTCCTCCATTTCTTTAGAGATCTGGAATAATTTATTTTCTTCAACAACAGCCATAACAATATACTTTTTAGTTTGTAAAATTTGATTTATATTGCCTCTTGTGACTTTCTGGAATGTTTCAAATCTTTCTTCGTTTAACCACTTATACACACTTTCATTAATTGTGGCAAAATCAGCCTGTGATTCTATTATTGTATCAATATATGTATACTGCTTGCCTTCTTTATAAACTGATAAAGAAGGCAACTGTGAAGCATTACTATATAGTTTTGCAACACCAACATTAGCAGCATAGAAAAAGCTATAAGGCTGAAGCTTAGAAGCTCCATAATAATAGGAATCCCATAAAGAGCCTTCTTTTTCTCCAATATACAAAAAAAATAACTGATTACTCATAATAAGAGACTGCAATTTTTCAGATTGTTTTATATCTTGTATTGGAGGACCTGCCATCCGTAATGCAAAACTTACAATTTCTTCTTTGGTTCTATCACCAGTAAAAGTTTGGTGTTCAGTATCCCTGATATATTTAATTGTAGGAAAACTTCTAACAGAAAATTCAGTTGCCAATGAGGAAAAACGAGTACAATCAACTTTACCGACATTTATTGATGTTCGATATAGAGCTTGTGCAACATGAGCATAAACAGGTTCTAATCGTTTACAGTGTCCACACCATGGTGCATAAAACATAACCAACCAATGCCCACTATCCTTCCTTATTTCTAAAAACTTATCACTTAATTCCAATACTCTGGAAGCTTCTGCACTTAAAACAAACGCCAGAGGCAAGAAAAACAAAACTAACACCATTTCTGGGATAAATTAATGCACTATAATTTAATTAGAAAATTAGCTTCCCTTTGGATTTTAATTAAATTATTTAATGTTTTCCATGTTAGCATAACATTAATAATGTCTCAAACTTGTAACGTTAACAGGTAGATATAAACATATCTTTTTAAGTTTTTGTTGAATAGCATTAATAAATTTTAAAGAGTGCACATTTCGGCGTTTTATGATTTTAACATTTTAACAGAACATTGTTAAAAACCCGCTCTATTATTGTTGAAAAATCAGAAATAGCCTAAATCTGCCAAAAATACAAATAAAAATATTTACAAAACAGTTTTTTATTTTTTTTTATTCACTTTTTCCAAAGAACTTAAATATGACAAGATCCATAGACAAGCGCGTACAATTAATCTGAATTAATCCCATAGATAATATTAATCCTTTGTAGATCTATTATCTATGTCTATGGCGTACCCCTAGACTAGGCGCACCATATGTAGTAATAGAAGAAAAATAAAAAGTGTGACAGTCAACAAATGATCAAAAACGTCAACAAAATACAATATAAGATTAGTTAAATTTAACAAAATTGGAAACTCAAGACTCAAAAAACTGAAAACCAATTAAGTTCATAATAATATCAATCGAATTCTAGGAATGTGAATGCAGGGCTCTAAAGGACGACGAAAGTTAAAAGCATACATTAAAAGTTAGGAAGTATTTAACAATGGATGATCCTGTAAGAAAAATTACCAAATTACAAATATTGAGCTATATAGATGATTTCATTCAAAATAATGTAAAAGTACTGGAAAACCCTTGTTATACAGACATAGGAGAATATCATAAATTAATGAAAAAAATTAAATCAAAGATGATATATTCCCATGAAGGTTGTGGAACAAAAACATCAAAAAGAAGAAAAAGTAGTGTAGAAGTCTCAGTAAAAGACTCGGTTTTAAATACTATAGATAATTCATTAAGTGAAGTTTCATGTACAAGTGATTGTACTTCAAAGGATATGAATTTATCCACCAAAAATAAGGTGGTTTTAAATTGCGGTATAAGTAAACCCATAGTAATTAAGGAAGAATTGCCAGAAATAAAAACTGAAGTATTTGAATTTAATCCACGTGAACATGGTATATATGCAAGTGAAAGCTTTAGTCCAACATGTATAGAAGTTAAATCTGACAATTCGCATAATATTATATTATATGAATTACATAATGATAATAATTTATTACAAATTATTAATAATGATAATGACACAAAACCAGACAGAAATATGATGATCTTACAAAAATTACTGAGTAAAAATTCGTTAAATGTTGCAGTTGATTGTGGAAACAATAATATTAACAATAGCGGAATAAAAGTAGATACACCTTTCATAAAAGAAGATATTGTGTTATCTGATTATGAGCCTGCAGAAATAAAAAACGATGATTATTATAACACCATAATAAAAAATGAACCAACACAGTTAAAAGTTCGGACTGATCTGGTACAACAGTTACAACTTGAGCAAAATTCATCAAATGGAATTGTAAACATGGAAAATACTGCTGCATTTATTGGAACTGATGCATGTAAATCTATTTCAAATAAAAGTGGAAGTACTTTATCAAATGAGAATTCTAAAAAACAGGTAAATATTTTAAAAAAGGTGTTACATAAAAAAAAATATAGTATATTTTTAAAAAGCACATTTACAAATAAGCCTAAAAGTAAAAAATATACAAGACATTGCACTAATAAACGAAGAAAATACACAGAGTTAATGAAAAAGGAATCAACAGAAAAGAATGAAGAAGGAATAACTATTAAAAATTGTTCTGTACCTCTTGTTAAAGTGGAGGATGAATTGCTAAATGATTATAAATTAAAATCTAATTTGTTACCGAGAGATACAAATATACCTATGTTTAGTAAACTATTACTTCAAGACATGATGAATATTTCAGCAGGAAAACAGTTAACTTTTTTTTCACCAGAAAACTTAAATGTTTTAATAGACAAACTTAGTCAGGATAATATAAACAGTGAAGAGGTGCTTTTATTTTTGAATACAAACGATATTGTTACCAAAATGTATATGGATCATTTCCCACAATTTGAAACTGCCATTTTAGAGAACAAAGTGAAAGTTATTGATAAGACTGTAGCAGAGATTTATACTAGAGTTCAAGGTATAAATGTCTTTTTTGATACATATGTTCAACAAAAACTCAGTGCTACAGTTATTAATAAACATTTTGGGTACTTTAAAAAAAATATGTCTTATGCTTTAAGAGTTTTAAAGTAAAACAATAGTAAAAACGTTATTTATTAATTCTAATTTTATTTTAAAACTATCTGTAAAAACTAATCTATAATTTATAATTGTCAATTTAGAAATAAACAAATTGTAGCAATAAAGTAATGATTTCTAATTTGCATGTGGTCTAGCTATGTGATTCTTGACGTAAAACATTCCTGCGCTTTGAGTCATATAGACAGTACCACGATAAAAATATAGACCTATACGCAGGAACTTTTTCGCGCAAAAGTATCGAGACCTTTAATTTGATGTGTGATAATTGTATGCAATTACTACTTCCGAATAGCTATTAAATTGTACATAATTTTTAAAAATAATGCTCAGTTTCTGTATCTAATAATTTATATTTTTCATATTTTCATTTCAAATTACAATGAAACTCGATTCTTCTTTTAGTTTTTCTAAAAAATTTATTCCTACTTTCCGTCTGACTTCAACCATTGTTTCTTCTGCTGTAGCTTGAGCTTTTTCAGAACCTTCTCTTAAAACTTGGTCAAGATATTCAGGGTTTGCAATGTAAGCCTCTATCTTTTTCTTAATAGGTAGTAAATGTTCAATAATAACATCAGCAACCAGATGTTTGTACCTACAATTTTCAATTTATATATAAAGTGTATGTAGTAAGAAACTACCTCCCTTTTTTTAATAGAACAATAAATGAAATGATTAACAAAATGTATTGTGCCCATATTTTAAACAAAACAGAAGATAACATTTTAAGAATGATACCGTTTTATTACAAATGTAGGTACTTAATAATATATTAAGTAATATAATATAATATTATTATCATTGGTACGGTTTCCTTTAACATTTTCGATTTATTTTTTTTTATATTTCACCTAATTTATCTATTATTTATTACAGCAGTAGCACCTTCTTTTTATTATTTTTAATAATGTGTCTATGAATTTCGATTCATTGAAATACATCGTTTCTCAGTTTTCTGCAATTCATTAACAAATCATGCCATATTTTTGATCTGCTCTTTTTTTTCTTTTTGTATTAATTTTTTAACATAATACTTAGATAACTTTATTATACTAGGGGCAACACTAAAAATTCCCCCACAACGCAATCGGGAGATAATTTCGTGTTGCAATTTAAAAACTACTGGTAATATTGAAAATCAAACTACAATAAAGTAAGAGAAAATAGGTACAGAAAATCTAGATCAGACTACTGTCTATAAATATGGATGTGGGTGATCTAGTTTTGGGGAAATGCGATGATATTGGAACTAGTAGATGTGCGTCTCCAAGAAGTCTTTGAACTGACTATATTATGGTGAGAACAGTAGCAGGATGAAAGAATTCAGCTCATATAAGCGAAAATTGTAACTTCACCTTCGATATAGAATTATGTACATACGCTGCAATTTTAATGAGTAATACTTTTGATTGACGATGATGTTATTGATATGAAAAAAACGGAATATAAAATATATAGAAATAAAGGGGGACGCTGCGTCTTAAAAAAAATCTTACTTTAAAGTATCTAAATACTGCGACTCTTCAACTATAACTTGCGGTTGTTTACCACTTATAAGTGAATGAATTAATATCAAATTTGATACTCCAGGCCTACTCTCAGGATCATAGGTCACCTGAAAATAAATAGTTAAACATTGATAATCTAAAACAATATGAGTAAATGATTATAATATATATTTGGAAATTTTTATTAACAAAGTCGATAAAAATCAACTGTATCGGAAATGCTTTTTGGGGAGCTGTGTAAACCATTGGAACTTCTGAAGGTAATCTATGACAAAATTACTTTTTTCGATATAAAAATTTTACTTAATTTTGTAGCCTCTTATGCAATTTTTGTCAAAATAAATATTATTATGATCTTACTCAATCAATTTGCCTGTGTACATATACTTTTTCAAGTGATATTTTAAAAATTATGTGGGTAATCTAAAAACATATACAAGGTGCCCATATTTCATAATCAAGCGTGATTTCAATTAGTTTCAAATTTCAAAAATAAGTATTTCCACGTTAATATTTAGGTACTGGAAACTTAAAAAAAGTCGAGTAAAAAGTAGAAAGATTTAGAAGAGGCTAAAGATTTGAACCATTTTTACTATTTTAATATAATTTTGTTTAACACCCTACGAAAAGTTTAAATTATCATAAAGGAACAATTTTTAAACTTACGGCAGAAGTGAAGTCTGTAACTGCTTTTTTAATTTTCTTCACAATATCGTCCGATGCGTCAGTTAAACAGATTCTGCTTTTTGAATCAGGATCTGACTTGGACATCTTTTTAGATGGTTCTCTTAAACTGCGTATCCGGGCACTACCCTTTTCAGATAATAATGTACGAGGTATCGGAAAGACTGTACCAAATTTTTTATTAAACATTTGAGCTAATTCTTGACATAATTGTAGTTGTTGAATTTGATCTTCTCCTACAGGCACATGTGTTGCTCTGCAAGTTAATTGTTATTTCGCAGTAATTAATTTATTTAATCATGTGAGTTATTGAATTACTAAAGCATACAAAAGAAGATTAGTAAAGCTATAATATGCTAAATGAAAATTTTGTATAAAGTAACACTATTGTAAGTCACCCTTTGCATTTATTAATACTTACTTTGTTATATGCGTAGTCATTAAGCAAATTTTAAATCTACACAAATTGAACTTACATTACTTGAAATCATAAAGGGACATTCATCTATAATACGATAACTAAAGTTACTTTAGAGACAGCTTTAGGGCTAGATATATGTATAGGGGCAAAAGATTAGTATGTTTAGATAGAGTGATATAGCAGTATTAGCACCTAGCAAGGAGTTAGAGATAGTCTTAAATAAAATGGAAGCAGTATTGACAAAACAGTATTGTTCAAAAATAAATAAAAGTAAATCAAAAATATTGGTATGCAATGAAGAAAAAGTATGGAAAGAGTAAATATAAAGATAAGTAGATGAAATAAATTTCAAGGCCTATTGGAAGCACAAACAGGCATTAAGAATAGTAGAGATAGACCTAGATTAGATTACTGTTCAACAAATTTGAAGATGTGGGATGTTCTGGTTTTAGAGAAATGCTAAGATTAGCTCAGGGTAGGGAAGAGTGGAGATGTGTGTCCCATCAGTCAAAGGATTGATAACCCTATGATGATGATATACTTACTTATGAACAAGAATATCAGCAGCCTGCAAAACAGGATAAATAAATATTCCTAATAGAACATCTTTTAATAGTGCTGACTTTTCTTTGTACTGTGGCAAATGCGCCAACCTAAAGAAGTGGATTATTAAATGAGAACTGACGTTTTTATTTATTTTTACCTTGCCATGGTACAAATGCATCCTAAATACCAGAACAATTCAGTATGTTGAAGAACACGTGATTGTTGAAATATTACCGATTTATTTGGATCAATTCCACAAGCTAGTAATGTTGCAGTCATTTCCAATATGCTTTTGGGCAAAACATTTGGATCCTTTAATAAAATAGACATTTATTTGATTAAATGAACACTTAAAACACCAAAACTCTACAAAATGTTTGGAAAACTAACTTTAACCCAGAATAACTTGGGTGTCTAAACGTTTTGTAAAATTTTAGGGTTTACTTTCCATATCACTCAATTATATTTTGTATATACATTTGACTAATAAAGAAGATACTTTTACCTGTGGCAGTGTTATTGAATGAAGATCAACAACACTAACAGTAATGTCTTCATTTTTATGTTGTAAATCTATCCATTGTGTTATAGCCCCAAAATAGTTCCCCAAATGCATGGATCCTGTAGGTTGTATTCCAGAGAAAATTTTACGAGGAAATTTGCCTGTATTAGACTATAAATGTCTAAGAAAAAAATATAGTAATTTTATAAGGATTAGTTACCTTCGTGTTAATATAACGAGTTGAATTAAGAATGGATAAAATAAAACACTTTTGTATTTTCTTTGAAATAAACATTATTGGTCAAATTGTTTTAAGACTGCGCATATAGAAAATTCAATAACTACTTCATATTAGTAACACCTAAATCAATAATGTGTTTTAAATTCAGCAATGTTTTTAAGTTTATGTTAAAACTTTTAAAATTTACTATAATTTCCATTGGATGATTTCATAACTTTTAAGGTTATGCTCATAGAAAAGACTAGATTATGGTTAGATTCATCGACGTTTACTAAATATATGTCTATGGGCATGACTATGGTTATTAACATAGATAAGAAAGTTAATAAATATGCTATGAAAATAGGTACAAGTACGTTCCGATCATAGATATAGGATAATTGAAAAAAAGTAATAGATGCACGGTATACTATTAAGCAGAATGAACATGGCGTTTGTTCAAAGATTTTAAATAAATTACTATTTGCTTTATCTTAATCTACCTAATTTTGTGTTTTTTATACTTACGTCGAAACATAAGTTTTATTTATGTATTTATGATTTATACGTCATATTGTCGAAATCGAAAGAAAAGACTACATCAGGAAGTTGTGATTTCAGGGATAATTTAATAAAAACTTCTGAAGTACAAACAAATAATATGGGTTGATTTATAGANAATAGAAAATTGTATTTGCCGATCAGTTATCTTTTCTTAAATAATTATATACCTTATTAAAACAAATAACCGCAATCCCCAAGGAGGATGGGAAATCAAAAATATGCTATTAATCTCTAATTTATCATGTAATAAGTATATGATGTGAATAAAAAGTTTTGTTCCGCCCACGTATATTAGTGATACTAAAGAAATAAAATTTAACTATTATTTGCAATAAATAATTAAAAGATAAATTTTGTTTACCTTCAGTACGAATGACACACGATGACAGGGACGTGTGGCGTTCGTTTAATTTTGATAGCTTTAAAATTTTCGAATGAGTGGACTTTGAATTTATTCCAGCACCCGAAAGAAGAATAGAATGAATTTCGCGTTTGCTCAAAAATTAGAAAAATAAGAAAGTTAAGACCAAATATACGCAGAGTTTCTGCTATGATTTATACGTCTTCATGTTGAAAGCGGAAAAAAGCGTAGGATAGAAAGTTGTGATTTCAAGGATAATTTAATAAAAAATAAAAGCTTCGCACCTATTACCTTACACTTTTAAAGAACGGATTAAATTCTTTATCGAAACTGCAAGACGTAACTCGCAATTTCGATCTTATTTGATTTCATCATAAAATTTATTTATTCATTAATTAATGTTATTTTATAATAATTGAAAAATTTTGCAAATTGTTTAGAAATCGTAACAAAAGAAGGCATTACAATTTTCAACACAGTTAAAAATTATCAGTTATCATCTGGTTTAACTGCCACAAGCAAACAAATATAAAAGTTCATTAAAAAGAAACAAAAGTAATGTTCTAACTTTTATTGCAAAAATGTACTTTTATAAACTTTTGGCTTCTTCAACTGTTTCTGGCAGTTTGTTTCCTAACGTTTCGGGCAATTTTAGAGCCAATAGACCAGCAAATACTGCTAAACAACCAAAAAGTAACATTGGCAAAAAATCAACATATACACCCTAAAAATGATTTTAATAAAATTTTGTAAAATACTTAAACTCATTATAATACTACACTTACGAGTAGAGGAACATACGGCGCTAGTAAAGATCCCACTCTAGCCATTGTAGAGGATGCTCCGACACCTCCGCTTCTTATAACAGTAGGTAGTAATTCTGCTGTATGAACATAAACCACTCCAAAGGCTGCTGTTACACCAAACTTTCCGATTAAAAACAGTATTAAAACTGCCCAATAAGCATCTAAAACAATCAATAAAACAAAAAGTAATGCACCGTGAGGGAAGTAATATATTTTGAAAAAGTACAAAGATTAGGGGTAAAGTTTAAGATTCGTTTTGATAATTTTATTTAATTAAAAAAGGTATATGGTATATTGTGTGTCATAAGCAAAGGATTTTTGAAAGAAAACGAACAGACAAATGTTCGTGCATTTTCAAAATTCAAATCATTTAAAGGATAAAAAAATCAAAATAATCAACATAGTTATTAAAATTATTAGAACACATGGAAAATAGGGTGGAAAAGTGGGGAAGTATGGTCGTACGGGAATTTCGAGGGCTACAATTTGAAGAGCGACCTCCTTGAGCTGTTTATCTCTCTGCTGGTCATGGAAGATCTCTTGTTGTAGTGAGCCAGACAAAATGTCGTTCACGAAGCTGTTCATGAATTTTTTCTTATCAACTTGAGGTAATTTATAGTGGACAAAATTTAAATGATTTTTCACATTGATATATTTAATATTAACCATTATTTACTTTCTTAAAGTGTTTCATATTGTATTAATTGCTCTACGGATCTGTGACCTGGTAGGTAAGTATGTTTCGTCGTTGTTACTGCTGTCACCACTCGTAGCTTAGTGGTCAGAGCATTGTGTGTAAATCTCAAGTTTCCGTGTTCGATTCCCGACGAGGGTGTGACGGCAGCAATAATTTTTCCTCATTAACTTGAGGTAATTGAATCAATTTTCATATTAATACGTCTATCTTTTGTTGAAGTTCTTCAATTTTTAAAAATTAAATGGTGATACAATGTTTAACTATATCTTATAAAAACATGGCCGCGTATGTATGCGGCTCGGAGGCTATGGCGTGCTAAGCCTCCGCTTCCAAAAATGCGTAAGTGGGATATTATTATATTAGCAGAGAAACATTTATTATTCGCAATTTTTCATATACAAAACAATAAAACTTACTTGGAATAACGGTTGTGATAATGCAGGTAACCCCACACAATAGCAGAGAAGCGACTAATGCTGATCGTCTGCCAATTTTCTTCATTGAAATCCATGCTATAGTATATCCTGGTATTTCTACTAAACACACCAGAGAAAAGTTCAGATATTTATTGCCTCCTAAACTCGTCGAATTTAATGAAAGTCCGTAATAAACAAAAGCGTTTATTCCCCTGAAAATTAAGGAATTATCCTTACAATACAGTTTTGATTTAAATATGATTGCTGAAATGAATTATTAAAATTTGTTTTTTTTGTGAAAAATATATACATTTGAGTAATTGTAAGTACTTTCGCTTCTTCCCTATACAAGGGGCGGCCTTAGTCATCAGGAGGCTCCGAGCGGGTAATTTTTTGCGAGGCCTTTGTTCTTGTGGAATTAGTTTTAATGATAATACTTGAAGAGAAATGCAAAGTGATTCATAAATAAGTTTAGTTTTAAAATTGTTTATCGGAAATTAAAAAAAATTAATGAACACAAATCTGGAAAATTTGCGGATTTTTAAGACTATTAAGAAATTCAAATAAACATTAGTACTCGGTACTATCTAATATTTTTCTAATTAGATTGGTGCGCGAGTGCGCGAGGCCCCGAGCGGTTGCCCTGCTCGCCACCCCAAAGGCCGCCCTTGGGTACCTATGTGCAAGATAGAAAGTTAAGAACAAAACTCTTATAGAGTAATCCACACACACACATACTCCTCTTCCAAATTATATTGTAATGCTACGCTTACCGTCAAGTTTCAAAATACGTTGAACACCGCGATTTTTAATATCGGACCCATTACAATAACTTCCCTATATACCTACTGGGAAGTTAATAATACAGTATTACTACAGTCAAACTACATCTATAACTCGAAATCTTTTCTAACTGAAATATTTTTTGTTCCCTTAACATATAGTCTCTTCATTTTTATTTTGTCAGTTTTCGATTACAATGTTAAAATTATAAATATTTTACTTTTTTATTTATTACAGGAACAAATAATCTACTAACTCGTATACCTAACAGAAGGAAGAGAAAGATACCCTTATCTTTCTCAGCTAGTACACTGGTACTTTATATAGTTAATCATCTTTCTTTCTATTTAAACAGTTTGTAGAGTTTGTCTCTCTTTTATTACTATACTATCGATTGCTTCATGAATCTTAAATAAATTCCAGTGACTTGACAAGTTTATTTAATATGATTTTTATAAAAGTGATCAAAACAAATTACAATGTACGTAATCCAATAAAAAAATTAAAAAAAATTGCAGAAGTTTTTATAGGGGTAGTTTAGGTTAAACTTAATATACATCAATTTGGCCCTTTACAGCTTGTAATTTAAATGAATATTTTCGAAGATATTACAGACTTAAAATGCAGGAACATAGCGGTTGCGGCGGTCCGGCCGATTTGTATTGTCTAATGACAAAAAAGCTGTGGTTGTTGTATATAAAGACATTCTCTAGTATATTTAGTATCAGCATTGCACCCGTGCGAAGCATAGTGTACAAAAAATACAATTAAACCAATTCCCTAACCCCTATCCCGGTATGTTTGTGTGTTTGAAGAAGTTTCACTTCAGAAGCGTGTTGTATAATTACACGTTGTATTTTTTTAAATTAATTTTATGGTGAAACATTTTGTTGGTATAAAAAAGTACTTACCTGTGTCAAAATATTTTTTTCAAATACAACTTACCAAATAAAAAATACAATAATAAAGCGGAGAACCAGTTTCCGCGACTTAAACATTTGCTTCACAACAGGAAGAATGTCAACTTCGTTACTTGAGTAATTATCCTACAATATAAAAACTAATGGTTAAAACACAAAATTAAAATATGCACATTAATTAAAATAAATACATTGTTACTTGTAGAATTATTTTTAAACGTTGCTAACAGAACAGGTGATAAAGAAGTTCTGTTTGTTTTGGCGACTTTGTATACAATTTTCTTAGCTTCATCATTTTTTTCTTTTGCAATTAGCCATCGGACTGATTCGGGAATCACCCTGTTGGTAAATAATAATGAGCTTATAAATAAATAATAATCAGTTAGATAGAAAAGTAATAATAAAAAAAAAAAATCAAATTTAGCTACTAATAAATTGTTTCATGGTTGTTAAGCAATAACTTGATGTCGGGTAAGATGGAATGAAAACGATTCTTATCATTACTTTTTCACTAGCATTTTGCTAGTTTATTGCAACATATCAGGGTCCTAATTTTTGCAGAACCCTGATGAAGTTCGATTAAGTGAATCAAACGTTAGTGAAAGAAAAATAATACAAAGTTTAATGGTTTTAACGTGTAGGTGCGCAGGTACTGTTTTCTATAACAAAGGTCTGGAAATATAAAACATTTTTTCTTAGTAAAGGCTTTCTCGGCCAGTAGTACTTTTTTTATCAGTTTTAGACCGTCAATAAAATACGTCACTCAGAATTTCACCTTCTTCGACCCTTTCTTTCCCCATTGCCTTGCATTTTTCACATTTTCAACGATCCCTTAACAAATATTATGTCACAAAAAGTAGCCCACTTCCTTATAAACGCTTTCTTGTGATCAAAAATACATATACTTAGATGTATACAATCTGAAACGTTAATTTTTGACTGTCTATTTGTTTATCTACAGGCTTTTAAAATGATTTTAAGAACTGCCAAATTAAGAAAAGAATTAAAATAAAATTAATGAACTGCAAACGTCACATTTCGTTAGACCCCTCTCTTCCCTTATTATATCTCGTTATCCCCTCTTTCCCCATTACTTGCGAACATATTTATTTCAATCAAAAACTGTATTTCTTTGACTATAAATAAGTGCTGTATATCAAGCGACAAATGTTACTTTTTCCAATAATAATTGGAATAGATAAACTAAGTACCCATTTCTTTTGAGAATGAGATAGCTACTTCATATCCATCCAAAACTATAGTTTTTATCAAACAAAATAAAAATTAGGCAACTCTTTAAAGTTACGTATCTCTTTAAAAACAGTTATCTGAATAATAGTTGATATTCGGGCTTGAAGACTATGGTTTATGATTGTTTTTTTATTCGGCGCGAACACTGATGCAGTTTAGATTATATTAAGCAGGCTGAATGCAGACTTTCAACATGTCTGAAAGCAATAATTCTGGTGAAGTAGAAGTTATAGTAATAGTAACGGCTGCATTGAAATATAGCAAACTTGCAAAGCAGATATGCACCTGACAGTTCCGACAAGATAAAGGTGGCCACCCTTGCTACCGGTCCGCGTCCGCGATGTATTCACTTGGTCAGTTCATCACGCCACGTATACCGTTCTTTGCCGTGCAGGATCGGAGATCCGCAATCCTTTCCGTCGACGTTCTGAACGTGACGGACAAGTGTGTGACAACCTTAAGAATGTAGTTGGCGGAACAACTACTCCATCAAGCCCAAATGTTATATTTTATTCAGCTACATATTTTGGTTTGATTTTTTAGCGTTTAAAAATAAAAAAATTACCAGTAATAAACAATGAATAATATTGCTGGCGCGGATGCAGAAAGTTGCAAATACGTCCAGTCAAGGGTTAACCAAGCTATTAAACCCACAAATGCTTCCCCAATGGCGTAGAAATAGTTAAGGATAATTCCTGTGTATTCTCTTTTCTTTTTGCCAACCATTTCAACACCTAAAGTTATAAAAAAGTATGGCAACACACATAATTATTAATTAATCATGGAGTGATAGCTCACCTAATGTAAAAGCTAACGGGAAAACTCCTGCGGTTCCTATTGCGTTTAGGAACGTAAGACTTGCAAACGTGATGTATTCTGGAGAAAAAATTTGCATGACACCTGTTATCCCCATAAAAACGGTACAGTAAACAAAAACATTTTTCCTTCCAAAACTGAAATTTAAACCTAATCAATTTTAAAGGTAGAGAAATATCTTTCTGTTGCTTCATTAGTATACATAACAGGGTGTTCAATAAATAATGGCTCAAACAGAAATTGATTACAGTAGAGGTCATCGTGGATTATACGACTTTAAAATTTCATGTGTAATAATAAAAACAGCTAGATCTTGATATACAGTTAATTTTCAAAGTTTTGGAAATGTCTTGACCTATGAGACTTTTTGTTATGTTGTGAGTTTGTGTGAAGGATTTTTTGATTTTCTTTTTGTGGATTCACATTCTGAAATAGAGATGCAGTGTCGTGCGTGAAACCTGTGGCAAAAGAAATTGAGATGCCTGAACCCCAATTCAATTTTGAGGCTCGTTACAGTATGACATATCAAATGAAAAGGCTTGTTATAAGGGTCTCAAATATATTTCTTTTTATAATTTTAAAATAAATAGTTCTAAAGTTATTCAAGAAAATAAAAAAACAGAAAATAGTTTTTTAATTATAGACTACAAGAAAATTAACAAGAAGTCTATGGTCTGAACATAACGTGGTAAATCTTTCAACAGAACAATACTGTGTGTGCAAATTTACATTTGCAGTTTGAATGTATGGGAGAAAGAACATGTTTATTTCAACTACAATGTTAAGTTGGTTCTTGGATCCGAATGAAGAACGGAACCCTGTCTGCCTGTCCGTTTTTTTTTAATCGGTAGGCTTTTTTTTTTGGTTTGATAAATGTAAATGTGATAGAGTAGTAAATACTAAAAAATTGGTTGAAGTTACAATTTGTCTACGTAATTTTATTATGGGATGAGCTAGGAGAATAAAACAGTTATAGTAATCAACTTACTAATCTGCTAAAATGCCAGAGAGTGCCGATCCTACAATAATGCCCGCAAAGTGACAAGATCCAATAAAGGATAATTTCCATTGATTTTCGGTACATGTTATGCTCCACTAAAAATGAAAGTACTTAATTTAAAAGCGAAGTATGTAACGCCCAAAATTATAGTTTACAGACGTTCTGGGCAAAGAAAGGAAAGGAAAAAAAGAGAAAAACAACAGGGAGATGTGTAAAAGATCTTTTTTTATNTGCAAGTATTTGTAGTGTTAAGTTTGGTTTTCATATTAAATTCTCTACAGGAAAGTTTGGATATAATAACTCCGTTTAAAATGACATATCGTTTATTATGACTGATTCTCAAAAAAACATATCCGGATATACTGACCCAAATGCTTAATAATAACATTTTCGCTAATTTTTCTGACCCTTCTTATGTATATTGATATTACAATTCATTGTCATTTTTCTGTTAATAAATACATACAATTTGTAGTTTTTCTCTCTACTAAACTAAATATAACTAACTAAAATAGAAAGTTTTTTATATTTTCTAAGACTATGCTTTGTATGAAGCCCGCTTAGTACGACGTGTTTGCCATTTCCCTTCGATGTCATTATAAGCGGATTCTACTGTATATAATATCCATAAATACAATATTACTTTCTGAATTTAATAAAATGGGCTTTTTACAGATTATTATAAAATGTAGGAACTACAAATAGGTTTAATGTGACTGCCACATTTTCAGCAACAAAGATTGATTTTACGTTAAGGCGTTTTCACATTTACCGACGCGACATCCACACGACAACGATAACGATACCGATGGACGCGTAACTACATATAATTAAATCAGAATACTTTCACATTTGCCGATGTATAGGTATCGTGTTGTTATTAACCCCATTCGTATTGTTGACGACTTGCAGAATTCTCATTGATTTTTGGTTGAAACTAAGAAAAATGGACGGATGCAAATATGATATAATAACATTAATTGAACTTGTGCAATTTAATCCTTGTCTCTCGGACAAGGTTTTAGAATATAATAAAAGTAAATATATATAATATAATATTATATTAACTTCCGCCGCGACGCCCTAAACGGTAACAAGTATCTACATGTAGCATGTCATATATGCTGTCAATGTCGTGTTCGTGTCGTACTGTGCTGTTATCGTGCAGGTATCGGTATCGGTAAATGTAAAAACACCCTTAACAAGCTCTTCTTAATACTAATAGAATTAATCAGTGACGACTCTCTTTTGGCAGCATGTGATAGTTAAAAATCAATTTATATTGATAAGCATAAGATATAATATACGGACGGACCTCGAGGATTCTTATAATGTTATAATTTGTTTATAATAAAGTTTTGGGCAATTCGGCGCAATTGTAGAATTGAACGTAAGTAAAAGTTCGTCCTAAAATGTTGAGGGATTTGTTATGAGCTAACTACAAGCAAGCTATCTGCATTATGACTCAGAGAAAGGCTAGTTCAGTAATGATAATAGATAGCACTAGAGTTACCTTTTCTTTCCCTTTTTGAAGTTTATTTATGGAATCAGAGCAAATTAGGGTTGTAACAGTTTATTAATTACTAACTCAACAGGTTGAGATAATAAAGATATTTTTTGGTTTTTTGTTTGTGTTAAGAAAAGTATCGACTGGATCGCCTTTTTATTTGTAGAGAGGTAGAGAATTAAAAAACATACAAATTGGTTCTGTGTAGAACCCGATCAGATCATTATCTATCCATTACCTTTTAAAGTTCATAAAAGACTAAAGACGAAATACTTGGCATGAGGAGTTTTTGTATAATTGCACTATAAACAAATTAGAGCATTGTTTTGTAAATTGCACTGTATCACACTCTGACTGGTCCAATTTGAATTTGTGAAGGTATAGATTATTATGAGCAACAAATCGTTCATCTCAGTTCTATAGAAATCTATTGAGTGCCATTTTGTAGGCTCTTTAATTCTCTACAAATCTGGTTCAGATAACTTGCTGTCAAAAATACAATTAGGTTTTTTTTCTAGTGCTTGAGCTATAAGTCAATTATTTAACAACCAAAAACACTTTTCTAAAAGCAAAAAACTTATTGTGCTCTCAATGTCGAGCTCACGAAGGCTCGAAATTTAAACTCCCGCGTCGCACATTTGAACTTTGAGCATATTGATTTCAGCTCCTTTCTCTAGAGTTTATCCCTATAAGGTTTATCCTGGTTACGTATCACATTTTGTGGCCCGTTTGGTCAGCCAATATTCACTAACTAACACGACGCAGCTGGTATGAGCAAAGACATAACATTGATCCACTCATCCCTTAACGTTACATTGGAAGTGGGGAAAGTTGCATTGCGAGTATTTCAACGAAAAATTAGACAACATGTAATTTGTCAATATTTGATTGTTGTCAATGCATGAAAAAGTTTGTTGCAAATACGACTGCTTACCCCAGGGGGAGGGGGAGTGAGTTGTGTATACGCAAATGAGGTTTTATTAAATTAAAAAGTTACCCATACATATTCTTACTTATATACCTACAAAACTCTCACGATATATTTTCAGAATTATACACATCTTATCATTTATAAAATACGACAAAAATTCACTTATCTAACTGCCCATTTAGTCTAAGAGCCATCGTCTGCCCGACCTATGTAAAAGTATAAAGGCTGATTTCTTTTTCTGTGTTTTCGCTACCACTAGTATAGGGAACAACGTTTAGGGATTACCAATACTGACCAATAGGGACTTCGGTAAGTATCAGATAAGTAAGGTTACAGTATATAAACTCTTCTAAAACCTGAAATTTGTATGACGTTTTTGAATAACTATTTTAAGTCACTATTTAAAACATCAGAACGATCTAAAGGGTTTAACACTCTCCCAGACACAGCAAAAGGTCATCAGGTGCACAAGCGTGAATGTAATAAGAGAGTAGGTATTAATGGAGAAATTAATCAGATGTATTCAAAGGGTTAAAAACTCCCTCAGACTGAATAAACGCCAGTTAGAACTACATTTACACCTAATTTTGACATTTCTTAAATGCGATTTCCTGACTTTACGTTGCTAGCGAAACACTTCCTCACATGTAGTACTATCTGACCTTTATTCAGTCTAAGGGAATATAATGATAATAATAATATTATACCGTAAAATAATTTCTAAATCATAATTATAATTTTCACTAATGACCCACTAAACTAACACTGTTTTATATTAATTATGGACAATGTTATCTAGATGCACCTGACCGTGTGCTGTATCTGCGGGAGTGTTAGACACTTTGGATCGGTCTGACTTTGTAAATATTGACTTAAAATGGTTATTTAAAGGCGTTAGTCAAATTTTAGTATTCTATACTTTAACACGAGAGAATTTATATATTGTGGCCCTACTCACTTGATACTTGTTAGTCCCCACTGGTGAAAATTGGTAACTCCCAAAGATTGATCTCTACATTAGTGAGAACACAAAAAAAATCAACCTTTTAACGTATGTACGTAAGTCTGGTAGGCGCTGGCTCTTAGACTAATTGTTACCTTTTCCTTCTTAAGTTTTGTAAATACATTTCGATTTATTTTTGAAGTTAAAACGAAATTTTCTCCTAAATCTGTTTTCTCTGCTAGTAATGCCCTTTTATGGAGATAAAAGAATTTTCAGCAGTTATATTATAGCACTATATTATAAGTAGGGAAAGATCGAATGCAAAGATAGAAGATGAATGGCTGAAAGAAGTGGCTGATTTTAGGTATCTAGGAAGTCAGATAAGTCAGGACAGAAGGAGTAGTAGGGATATAAAGCAGAGGATAGCGCAAGGTCGAGTCGCCTTCAATAAAAAGAAGTCACTTCTATGCTCGCGAACGATTAATGGAAATCAATAAGAAATAGGCGAGTTAGGTTAGTAGGACACCTTCTCAGGCATGAAGGCCTAGTCAGAGACATATTAGAGGCAGAAATAAGAGTAAGAGGAGTAGAGGTAGACCTAGGTTAGATTACTGTTCGCAAATAGTTAAGGATGTGGGATGTTCTAGTTTTAGGGAAATGGGAAGATTAGCTCAGGATAGGAAAGAGTTGAGGTGCGTGTCCAATCAATCTTAGGACTGACGACCTTATGATGATGATATTATAACACATTCAAATGTAACAATTAAAAAAAGGTTGACATTTGGTGGTACCGAATTTACGAAATAAGACAGAGGCATAACAATTAACTAAAAATAAACCCATGGAGAGACTTTTGAACTGAACGGGACATCTTGTATGTCGAAACGCGTATTTTATTTTTAACTTATTTATTTGTGGCATCATATGTGATTACTAATTAATTTAGGTATATTATGCAACAGTAGGTATAACAGAGAAATGTTTAAACAATTTTTATGGTTAGTATACCTGTTCAACAGCTAATAATAAAATGCTTTTCCTTACCTGATTAATGTCTTCACCGCACGTTGTCGTATTAACACGCATAAGTTAGATCTGTTTCTGTTTGTGTCGTGATTTATGTGGGTATTCTTAAACCAATTTGAAAGTGTTATGTATCATCCGATGCTGTTTAATCTGTATTTTAATTGTGCTTAACCACTGTTCTTGTAATAATTATAATTATCGTCTTCGAGTTCTTATGTCTTGTCCGTCAGCGCAGACCCTGTGAGTTAGAGAGAGAGAATCTCAGTTGCCACGCGACTTTTTTATGTAGGCCAGTACTTGATTAATTTCTATTCTAACAATAAACAATTAATATGATGAAATCAGTTTTTGCTTATAAACGGAAATGTTTAGATTTAGACAATTATGATCTTCAGAGCACTTGTAAGGAATAAAAAAAAACACAAAAGTAGACTTGCTAAATAAATTGAATGAATGCCATTCTTGTAAACGGATAATGTTTTATTAATTATTAACGATAATCTAATAAAGTTTTTCTAAAATTATGAGTTTTAATGTACTTAGTAAAAGTACGAAAAATGAAGTCGATCGATAGTTTTCGAGACTGAAAAATGTTAAAAGTGGACCTTTTGACTTAGAACTCAAAAACGCACCCCTTTAAATAGTAACAGGGTTTTGTCAAGTTCTAAAGTCAATTGAACCTAAGAAACAACACAAACGCTTTAGGCAATAGCCTATTTCTTCAGGCTAGTCAGCCTATTTAGCGACTTTCACCATTTTGGGCTTATTTTAGTCATTAAAAGTAAATGTAACTTCTTAATAAAAAAAACTATTTTTTTGCATTTATTTATACAAAAACGCTTTTAAAAAATAACTCCATAATTTATTGTTGGAAGGGTCTAACCATACTTCCATGGGTAAGAGGAGACTAATACTAGTTGAAATAGAAGATATTACCCCTCTGTCCTTTATCTTGGTTAAAATAGTGGAGATACTTCAAAAACACGGTTAGTGTTCTGTCGAACTATTTATTGTATTTTTTAAATCGTTTGTTTCATGTTCAATTTTACGAAATCTTAACTTAAAACTTTCAAATTGTTTTTCATGCTATTCAAGATAAAGGTTGCTGCTTTAGCGGGTGGTTTGTTTACAGCCATATGTAGAAATCGTAGACGGATGAGGGCTGTAAACCATTTTTGACCACCCACCCTTCGGGGTGCTCATACTGAATAATAGCATAGATTCTAAGAAGGAAGTTGTGAACGATTGGTCACGTCCAATATATTTAATTTTAGAGAAGAGTCTACTTAAGTCTGTCCTGTAAGACACACGTGTTTCACCTTTTTGTATATTTTTGTAACATTAAGTTTTTCTTGATTAAATAAGTGTTAAATTTGAGTTTTTATTTTAATAATCCAAACATATCGTCCCTTACGATTAGTTTCTAGAGCGACAGTATATTGCTCATCATTATAAAAGAAAGCAATAATTTTACTTTTTTTTAAAGCTTTATGTCTAACCAACTTTTAAAGCCAGGATATTAAAACCAAAACCTATTTGTATCATATCTAACTGAATGTCCACTTTTAAAAAGATATAATATTTGTCTATGTTCCGCTTAACAGCTTGCCAAGTTTCATTAAAATCCAAATTGAAAGTGTACCTATATAATGTTCTCTATGACAGCTACGGTATAACAAACGTGTAGTGTAGATGCCAATAGATTTTTTGTAACCGACGTTATTTAGATGGAATATCAAATGTAAAATTTATTTTGGCACGCTGAACACGAATATCGGGGGTGGATTTTGGGTAATTTATTAACAAGTTATTGTTAGAAGATTCAAAAAATGAAATTTACTTTGGGTCATCCTAAGAGACAAGGTCTCTCGAAATTTTTTCGTTTAGGTACTGTCTTCAAGATACATCGCATTTAATATAAAAAAAGACCAATTTTGGGATTTTCAAACTGCTTTCACGTTACAAAGTTTAATACTTTTTAATTATTATTAATCATTTAAATTGTTCTTTCAAAAGGAAAGAAAATCATCACCTGGCGTATAAAATCTGAGCTGCTCAATATCTTCTAACTTTCAGTCTGATGCTTTCGTTCTAAATTAACAAACACGAATGCCTCACACCTCGTAAGGCGATTCTCCTTACCTTTATATTCATCATTATCATCAGAAGGTCGTCAGTCCTAAGACTGGTTGGACACGCACCTCCACTCTTTCCTATCCTGAGCTAAACTTCGCATTTCCTTAAAACTAGAACAACCCACATCCTTAACTATCTAACCTAGGTCTACCTCTACCCTTCCTAACTCCTGTTTCTGCCTCTAATATGTCTGTGACTAGACTTTCATGTCTGAGAAAGTGTCCTACTAACTTATCTCGCCTATTTTTTATTGACTTCCATAGAGTCCTATTCTTTCTAATACCTTTTCTACGTCTTCATCACTGTAAGATGATGTAGACATGTAGACTTGCATCAATACCGTTTTTACCGACTTTGAGTTTAATTTAACCATAACTAACCTATCGCTTTTTTGTAAATAACTTTCTACACTCTGCCCTACTTTCCTACGCAATACAATTCCTATCGCTGAATTACCTTCTACCGATCCTGTATGCATTACTTTAAAGTCTCCACTCCAAAAGTCTCCAGCTTTGGGCCAATGGACTTCACTAATACCTACTATATCTAATTCTAATTTATACATCTCTACTTTTAAATTTTCTAATTTCCCTACTTGCCTCANATAGTTCTAAAGTTATTCAAGAAAATAAAAAAACAGAAAATAGTTTTTTAATTATAGACTACAAGAAAATTAACAAGAAGTCTATGGTCTGAACATAACGTGGTAAATCTTTCAACAGAACAATACTGTGTGTGCAAATTTACATTTGCAGTTTGAATGTATGGGAGAAAGAACATGTTTATTTCAACTACAATGTTAAGTTGGTTCTTGGATCCGAATGAAGAACGGAACCCTGTCTGCCTGTCCGTTTTTTTTTAATCGGTAGGCTTTTTTTTTTGGTTTGATAAATGTAAATGTGATAGAGTAGTAAATACTAAAAAATTGGTTGAAGTTACAATTTGTCTACGTAATTTTATTATGGGATGAGCTAGGAGAATAAAACAGTTATAGTAATCAACTTACTAATCTGCTAAAATGCCAGAGAGTGCCGATCCTACAATAATGCCCGCAAAGTGACAAGATCCAATAAAGGATAATTTCCATTGATTTTCGGTACATGTTATGCTCCACTAAAAATGAAAGTACTTAATTTAAAAGCGAAGTATGTAACGCCCAAAATTATAGTTTACAGACGTTCTGGGCAAAGAAAGGAAAGGAAAAAAAGAGAAAAACAACAGGGAGATGTGTAAAAGATCTTTTTTTATGTAGTTTTTTAATTGAATTTACAAACACCCCTACTCTTTCTGGACACTTTGTACAATTACTAATTTTGAGTCGTATCATGTGTTATACGGTTTTAATTGTTCTGTATAACAATGAATACCGCGTTAAAATAAATGTGATGTGTTGAGTGCTTCTTGACTCTTGCAATTTTTACGATTAGACGACGATATGATACTGAAATGTATTTTAGTACATTAGTTTTAGTAAATCTCCCCTCTTAAGGTAAGATAAGGGAAGACAATAACCACTTTTCTCATAAGACATAAAGTACAACAGAAAAGTTTTTATATGAGAACAAAATTAAAGGAATCAAAAATTGAAGCTGGTAAATCTTAGTGATGAGCAAAACAAGACCAAGGCCAACACTGTCCCAGTCTTGGTATTGGTTTTGGTCTTGCTTATTCGGTCTCGATCTTGGTCTTGCTGTTAAGTCTTGGTCTTGCTCATTCTGATTTTATCTGATGCTTACGTTTTTTTAATAATTCTTCTAATTACAATTTTTTCTATTTGCCGACACAATAATTATCTTGACAATAGAAAAAACGATAGAAACAGGAAAGAGCGCGTACATATAATTGTAGATTTAGAAAAAGCTTTTGATAATGTTAAATGGGACAAAATGTTAAATATACTTAAAAATGTAGGGATGAGTTAGAGATAAGATAGAAGAGTGATACTTAGTTTGTATAAAGAGCAACAGGCAGTTATAGAGCTGGGACTGCAACGTAGAGAAGTAGATATTAGGAGGGGAGTCAGACAGGGATGCACACTGTCACCGCTACTTTTTAATCCATACATCGAAGACACGATCAACATCATTAAAGATAGTACAACTGTAGGGATAGATATAAAGGGGCAAAATATTATTAGTATGCTTAGATCTGTAGATGATATAGCAGTATTAGCATCTAGCAAGGAGGAGCTAGAGATATCTTTGACAAAATAGTATTGTATGCAAATAATTAAAAGTAAAACAAAAATACTAGTATGTAAGGGTCGAAAAAGTAGGGAAAGAGTGAATGTAAAGATAGGAGACGAATGATTAGAAGAAGTGGGCGTGGCGGCAAAGAAAAGGTTAGAAGCGTTTGAAATGTGGTGTTACCGGCGAATGATGAGGATATCGTGGTCAGAGAAGGTAAGAAATGAAGAGGCATTATAAAAAATAGGAGAACAGAGGACTCCATGGAAGTCAATAAAAAATAGGCGGGATAAGTTGGTAGGACACCTTCTCAGGCATGAAGGTCTAGTCAGAGATATATTAGAGGCAGAAACTGGAGTTAGGAGGGGTAGAGGTAGACCTAGATTAGATTACTGCTCGCAAGTAGTTAAGGATGTGGGTTGTTCTAGTTTTAGGGAAATGCGAAGATTAGATAGGAAAGAGTGAAGTCTTAGGACTGACGATCTTAAGATGATCCAAGAAAAGAATATATTAAGGTTGCTTCAAATAGCTTAACTCTTTTTAGTCTTTGTCTTGTTCGTTCGGTTTTGATCTTGCTAGTATAAAGACAGTGTTGGTCTTAGTCTTTATCATGGTCTTGCATTTTCGCAAGTCCAAAACCAACACTGGAACACCAAGACCAATTTTGCTCATCACTAGTAAATTTTTCCCACAAAAATAATTAGGATCATAACAAGAACCATATACCGTGTTTGATTAAACATAGTTCAAAAAGATACTAATGAAATTTATAAATCATTCAAAGCGAATCTACGAATATTCTTACATCGTTAACGATTGTCCTTTCTTTATCGAAAACCCATTCGTTACAGTTTTCGATTTCGTTTGTAAAAGCATCTGCAGCACAGGAGTTGCTGGATGCAAAAGTTTTTACATATCTAGTGCAGAGTGTAGGCTGATAGGATGTACTATCTGATCCTCTGTCTGGTATGGCAAAATGTAACCAATCGGCATTATACGTGGAATTGAACTTATTATCACAGCCATTTACAAAACATCTAAAAGATCGATTGGAGAATTATTGAAATAATTTGTTAATAACTGCAGAAAAACTATTGGAAAGAAAAATTGATTGATTGCACTGCAGTCCTATAGCGTTTCTAGAGTAAAAATATATGTACTTTATGTTAAATTAGCAGATAGAAAAAAAGTATTGTATCGGTTCAGTCGCCGGTTTTGTTGACTGTAGGGGAACAGTATAAATCAGTAATTATAAGTTACAGTGTAAAATATATTTTGTTACACTTGCACTTTATTAACATCATCCTTGTAGTAGGTAAATTATTTGTAATGAATTTTAACTGCAAATTGTTGTCGAATTAACATTAGTAAAGTTCGTCCAGTAGTTAAAATTTGGAAGTGTGACTTTAACAAAATCTATTGGAGAATATTACTAAAATTCGTTGTTTTATGTCCACGATAATAAGCACATGAAGATTATGCTGCAAAATGTAGTTGCTTTAACAATTTATTTTTGTTAATTTTTTTTCAAAAACCATGTATTGTAATGTATAAATAAACAATATGGGACAAACGTGACAATTTAAGTGGTTGAGGGTTTCTTTGGGGTACAATGTAGGTAGTTTTAATACATATTGAATAATTTAATCAGCGGTTGTAAAAATTAAAAATAAAGTAGTGATTTGAATAAAAAATTAAAAATTATATGGTTTGGGTAGAATGCAGTTTATGACACCATATTTGAAGTTGGCTCAGCAAAATGACAAACATTCATAGTTCTGGCAACTTTCTTTTTTGACGAATATGCTAAGGTTACGGCAGGAAAAGACAATACGAACGAAGTGAGTGCTGCTGTTAGCAGTTAGGTTACGTTGGTAGAATTGTAATATTTGAAGCCCTCTTGAAGGAAGGTGCCACAAATTTCATTTTTACCCAAGGCGTAATTTTAAAAAGTAAAGGGAAAATGGTTTTGTACCTAATCCATTCATTTTCGATAGGCGTAAAAAATGAATGCAGTGATGTTCTTTTTTTTTTGGTGGACACTATAAAGGGATTTATACAATTTTGTTTGATAGGTATCCTTTTCACAAAAATATTAGGATAAAACATAATATACATTTAACCACCAAGAAATACAGTCAATTAGGATTCACTTTTTTGTACAGCCAAAAGAAATTTAAAATGTCTAATATTCTTTTACTTATAAACATTTTAGTGTTTAGATTAGTTTACAAAATTGATATTTTTATCTAAAAAGCTGTTGGAAATAGATAACAGTATCAGGACATACTCTCTATAGAAAAAACTTCTGTTAAAAAAAACTTTATTATAACTACAAATACATTTTCAACTAAACTTACCTATAGTTGGGAATGCCTGCGGTGAATACGTAAGTTAAACTGTTCGCTGCTGCAAAAAGCACCGGTAAACAAACCAGTGTATAAGTAATAATCTGATATCTACCAAATTCCCCTACTTCTTCCAAAATATTATCAAAATCCATTCGGAAGTACTTTTATCAATTTTTCTAAAAATTATGCACAATAACAATAAACTTTATTAATTTGTTAAGTGAAAGTCGGCAGCTTTCATTATGCAAAAGAGTTTAGTAACTATATGGCTCCTCATTACCAACAGTGTAGAGGAGAAACAAGTAAATAAAGTAGATAGTGAATATTAATCAGAAACGATAAGTAGCATTACGACGTATTAATTATAATAATCGTTTTTCACATTCTTTTCGAATTTATTAATGATGTACAATGTACAGCTAAAATGAGTAATTAATTACTGGTTTGTTTGAAAGAGGTACAATACATAAGATAAAACTGATAAATGCATTAATTTTGAATGCAAGTATTTGCAGTGTTAAGTTTGGTTTTCATATTAAATTCTCTACAGGAAAGTTTGGATATAATAACTCCGTTTAAAATGACATATCGTTTATTATGACTGATTCTCAAAAAAACATATCCGGATATACTGACCCAAATGCTTAATAATAACATTTTCGCTAATTTTTCTGACCCTTCTTATGTATATTGATATTACAATTCATTGTCATTTTTCTGTTAATAAATACATACAATTTGTAGTTTTTCTCTCTACTAAACTAAATATAACTAACTAAAATAGAAAGTTTTTTATATTTTCTAAGACTATGCTTTGTATGAAGCCCGCTTAGTACGACGTGTTTGCCATTTCCCTTCGATGTCATTATAAGCGGATTCTACTGTATATAATATCCATAAATACAATATTACTTTCTGAATTTAATAAAATGGGCTTTTTACAGATTATTATAAAATGTAGGAACTACAAATAGGTTTAATGTGACTGCCACATTTTCAGCAACAAAGATTGATTTTACGTTAAGGCGTTTTCACATTTACCGACGCGACATCCACACGACAACGATAACGATACCGATGGACGCGTAACTACATATAATTAAATCAGAATACTTTCACATTTGCCGATGTATAGGTATCGTGTTGTTATTAACCCCATTCGTATTGTTGACGACTTGCAGAATTCTCATTGATTTTTGGTTGAAACTAAGAAAAATGGACGGATGCAAATATGATATAATAACATTAATTGAACTTGTGCAATTTAATCCTTGTCTCTCGGACAAGGTTTTAGAATATAATAAAAGTAAATATATATAATATAATATTATATTAACTTCCGCCGCGACGCCCTAAACGGTAACAAGTATCTACATGTAGCATGTCATATATGCTGTCAATGTCGTGTTCGTGTCGTACTGTGCTGTTATCGTGCAGGTATCGGTATCGGTAAATGTAAAAACACCCTTAACAAGCTCTTCTTAATACTAATAGAATTAATCAGTGACGACTCTCTTTTGGCAGCATGTGATAGTTAAAAATCAATTTATATTGATAAGCATAAGATATAATATACGGACGGACCTCGAGGATTCTTATAATGTTATAATTTGTTTATAATAAAGTTTTGGGCAATTCGGCGCAATTGTAGAATTGAACGTAAGTAAAAGTTCGTCCTAAAATGTTGAGGGATTTGTTATGAGCTAACTACAAGCAAGCTATCTGCATTATGACTCAGAGAAAGGCTAGTTCAGTAATGATAATAGATAGCACTAGAGTTACCTTTTCTTTCCCTTTTTGAAGTTTATTTATGGAATCAGAGCAAATTAGGGTTGTAACAGTTTATTAATTACTAACTCAACAGGTTGAGATAATAAAGATATTTTTTGGTTTTTTGTTTGTGTTAAGAAAAGTATCGACTGGATCGCCTTTTTATTTGTAGAGAGGTAGAGAATTAAAAAACATACAAATTGGTTCTGTGTAGAACCCGATCAGATCATTATCTATCCATTACCTTTTAAAGTTCATAAAAGACTAAAGACGAAATACTTGGCATGAGGAGTTTTTGTATAATTGCACTATAAACAAATTAGAGCATTGTTTTGTAAATTGCACTGTATCACACTCTGACTGGTCCAATTTGAATTTGTGAAGGTATAGATTATTATGAGCAACAAATCGTTCATCTCAGTTCTATAGAAATCTATTGAGTGCCATTTTGTAGGCTCTTTAATTCTCTACAAATCTGGTTCAGATAACTTGCTGTCAAAAATACAATTAGGTTTTTTTTCTAGTGCTTGAGCTATAAGTCAATTATTTAACAACCAAAAACACTTTTCTAAAAGCAAAAAACTTATTGTGCTCTCAATGTCGAGCTCACGAAGGCTCGAAATTTAAACTCCCGCGTCGCACATTTGAACTTTGAGCATATTGATTTCAGCTCCTTTCTCTAGAGTTTATCCCTATAAGGTTTATCCTGGTTACGTATCACATTTTGTGGCCCGTTTGGTCAGCCAATATTCACTAACTAACACGACGCAGCTGGTATGAGCAAAGACATAACATTGATCCACTCATCCCTTAACGTTACATTGGAAGTGGGGAAAGTTGCATTGCGAGTATTTCAACGAAAAATTAGACAACATGTAATTTGTCAATATTTGATTGTTGTCAATGCATGAAAAAGTTTGTTGCAAATACGACTGCTTACCCCAGGGGGAGGGGGAGTGAGTTGTGTATACGCAAATGAGGTTTTATTAAATTAAAAAGTTACCCATACATATTCTTACTTATATACCTACAAAACTCTCACGATATATTTTCAGAATTATACACATCTTATCATTTATAAAATACGACAAAAATTCACTTATCTAACTGCCCATTTAGTCTAAGAGCCATCGTCTGCCCGACCTATGTAAAAGTATAAAGGCTGATTTCTTTTTCTGTGTTTTCGCTACCACTAGTATAGGGAACAACGTTTAGGGATTACCAATACTGACCAATAGGGACTTCGGTAAGTATCAGATAAGTAAGGTTACAGTATATAAACTCTTCTAAAACCTGAAATTTGTATGACGTTTTTGAATAACTATTTTAAGTCACTATTTAAAACATCAGAACGATCTAAAGGGTTTAACACTCTCCCAGACACAGCAAAAGGTCATCAGGTGCACAAGCGTGAATGTAATAAGAGAGTAGGTATTAATGGAGAAATTAATCAGATGTATTCAAAGGGTTAAAAACTCCCTCAGACTGAATAAACGCCAGTTAGAACTACATTTACACCTAATTTTGACATTTCTTAAATGCGATTTCCTGACTTTACGTTGCTAGCGAAACACTTCCTCACATGTAGTACTATCTGACCTTTATTCAGTCTAAGGGAATATAATGATAATAATAATATTATACCGTAAAATAATTTCTAAATCATAATTATAATTTTCACTAATGACCCACTAAACTAACACTGTTTTATATTAATTATGGACAATGTTATCTAGATGCACCTGACCGTGTGCTGTATCTGCGGGAGTGTTAGACACTTTGGATCGGTCTGACTTTGTAAATATTGACTTAAAATGGTTATTTAAAGGCGTTAGTCAAATTTTAGTATTCTATACTTTAACACGAGAGAATTTATATATTGTGGCCCTACTCACTTGATACTTGTTAGTCCCCACTGGTGAAAATTGGTAACTCCCAAAGATTGATCTCTACATTAGTGAGAACACAAAAAAAATCAACCTTTTAACGTATGTACGTAAGTCTGGTAGGCGCTGGCTCTTAGACTAATTGTTACCTTTTCCTTCTTAAGTTTTGTAAATACATTTCGATTTATTTTTGAAGTTAAAACGAAATTTTCTCCTAAATCTGTTTTCTCTGCTAGTAATGCCCTTTTATGGAGATAAAAGAATTTTCAGCAGTTATATTATAGCACTATATTATAAGTAGGGAAAGATCGAATGCAAAGATAGAAGATGAATGGCTGAAAGAAGTGGCTGATTTTAGGTATCTAGGAAGTCAGATAAGTCAGGACAGAAGGAGTAGTAGGGATATAAAGCAGAGGATAGCGCAAGGTCGAGTCGCCTTCAATAAAAAGAAGTCACTTCTATGCTCGCGAACGATTAATGGAAATCAATAAGAAATAGGCGAGTTAGGTTAGTAGGACACCTTCTCAGGCATGAAGGCCTAGTCAGAGACATATTAGAGGCAGAAATAAGAGTAAGAGGAGTAGAGGTAGACCTAGGTTAGATTACTGTTCGCAAATAGTTAAGGATGTGGGATGTTCTAGTTTTAGGGAAATGGGAAGATTAGCTCAGGATAGGAAAGAGTTGAGGTGCGTGTCCAATCAATCTTAGGACTGACGACCTTATGATGATGATATTATAACACATTCAAATGTAACAATTAAAAAAAGGTTGACATTTGGTGGTACCGAATTTACGAAATAAGACAGAGGCATAACAATTAACTAAAAATAAACCCATGGAGAGACTTTTGAACTGAACGGGACATCTTGTATGTCGAAACGCGTATTTTATTTTTAACTTATTTATTTGTGGCATCATATGTGATTACTAATTAATTTAGGTATATTATGCAACAGTAGGTATAACAGAGAAATGTTTAAACAATTTTTATGGTTAGTATACCTGTTCAACAGCTAATAATAAAATGCTTTTCCTTACCTGATTAATGTCTTCACCGCACGTTGTCGTATTAACACGCATAAGTTAGATCTGTTTCTGTTTGTGTCGTGATTTATGTGGGTATTCTTAAACCAATTTGAAAGTGTTATGTATCATCCGATGCTGTTTAATCTGTATTTTAATTGTGCTTAACCACTGTTCTTGTAATAATTATAATTATCGTCTTCGAGTTCTTATGTCTTGTCCGTCAGCGCAGACCCTGTGAGTTAGAGAGAGAGAATCTCAGTTGCCACGCGACTTTTTTATGTAGGCCAGTACTTGATTAATTTCTATTCTAACAATAAACAATTAATATGATGAAATCAGTTTTTGCTTATAAACGGAAATGTTTAGATTTAGACAATTATGATCTTCAGAGCACTTGTAAGGAATAAAAAAAAACACAAAAGTAGACTTGCTAAATAAATTGAATGAATGCCATTCTTGTAAACGGATAATGTTTTATTAATTATTAACGATAA